TGAGCTGAACTGGTGTGGTGGAGGCTGAGAGAATCATACCAGCTGGTGTAAAGAAGGGTGAGGTGGCACCATCCCTTTAAAAGGAGAAGAGCCATTTTTGCTGGGTAGATCAGATCAGCTGCCTTTTGACATCTCTCCCTCAGACTGAGTTTTATGCCTTTTCGACTGAAGGACTGGCTACATGTCTGTCTTGCTGTCTCCGCTGCAGAGTGATCAGTGACAGAGGCAAATGAAGCATCTTTCAGATGGCTTTGGGAAGATCTGCACGTTGTTATTCACCACTTGCCTGAGTCCCTGGAGAGCCTGAGAACATTCTATTAGTACGGGCCCAGACACTCCGTGAGCCTGCACTTCTGGAAACAGTTCGTTTATATCCATGTTACCAGTCTCTCAAGTCTAAAACCTCCAAGTCCAGCAGTCCCTAGACAAAATAAAGGGGGAAATAATTTATAATGAGGTGATTATTTCCTCCCCCATCAGCACTTAATTTATTACAGCAGAATCTTCTGAAACTATTTACTTCATGTGACTCTTACTTAGCAATCTGCAGTTGTTCCATGTGTCAAACAACATTTAATGACTAATATGGAAAGGTAGATGCCAGAAAAATTATCATCTCATGCAGTTACATTTTTAACAGGTTTACCTCTGTTTAGAAGTCCATTTATTTGATTTTAATTTGAACTATCTAATGCAAAGACATTCGGATACATTTCACAAAAGCTGGGCTAACATGGGCACCTTGCCTATTAAATGAGTGCAAAGCGACTGAGCACTTGCTGTCTTTTTACGTAGCACCTCCGCATTTTCAGCAGCTGGATGGCAGAATATTCATATTTGTGAGCTGAGTAATGAATTCTCCTTTGTGCTTGCTGACAGTGTGCATTGAATCAGCAGAGGTACAGATGACTTGGTTACATCTGTTTTAATTTTTGAGTAATGTGAATTGATTTGTAAGAAGCAGAAGCTCTTTCAGTATTACTTGCCAAGATTTTGCAGCTGTGAATATTGGAACTCGAACAATACATAGCCTTTGCAGTCAGAGTCTCATGCTCTTCACACATTGCAGCTAGAAATCTCAGTTCTGAGTGAAAAATAAGTGGCGTAGCAGTGGTGATCTGGTGCTTGCCAGTTTATGTAGTGTGGATGCTTAATGAGTTGCAGTATAAATGTAGTGCAAACACTGGCTGTTGGGCTGTTTGACTGGAACATTGAATGAAGAAAGGAACTGGGCAAGCAAACAGGGAAGGGATGCGGCTCAAGTATTTCCTTGCAATGCAAGGCACCTTCAGGACATGCTTATGTCTGTACTGAATAACATAATAAGCGATAGCATCACCTGAGTTTAAAGTTGCAAATAAGACACTTCGGGTAGGAAGGCAGCAATACAAATGTTGCTACCCTGCTGATCTACCCATGACATTAGGGCACCTGGAGCTCTTCATTCACATGACTTCACAGCTTCTAGATGGTACAGTTTCTGTACTCTCTTGTTTAGTGTAGATACTTTGAGACTGATAGAGTTTTACTTTAATTTAGTGTAGTTTCACTGATGCAAAAAAATATCTCATGGTGGAAGTTGGTACTAACTGGAGCAGGAGTACTGAAGTAAGTTTTGTGCACTGCTTCTTTCCATGCTAGTTTTGGCACACTCGTTTTCTAAGACTGTTACACAAAGAGGCAGTCTGATACCCAGACTAAAGAAAGGGGCTGGAACACAGGAGACATCCCTAGGTCTGTCACTGAATCTTGGTGGAATAGGTTGTCCTAACTTCTCTGAAATTACTTTGCAGTAAAATCAAATGGGAAGGCAGAGTAGAGGAAGAGGTGTAAGCAGAATGTAAGTCCTGTTAGTATGCTCCCCTGTTAGATAAGTGGCCAAGGTGACAGGTTGCATGCAGAGATGGATCCAGCAGCAGTCACACACGTGGTCACATTTATGTTTCCTTACTTCCCTCTGGCAAATCACAGGCAAAAAGATGAGCTCTGTTCCAGTATGAGAAACTATGAGACTGCAGTATTTGGGACAGTGCAGCTCTCTACATGCTCAGGAGTTACACTCTCCAGGCCTTGGGACATCCAGTAGCTTGAATGGATGTCCAGAAGTCCTGGACAAATAGCCAGTTATTTTTCTTGTTGGCCTAAGAGTTCAAGTCAGTAAAATAAAATGTTTCTAGGGAAACCTGGATGTATCTTAGCTCGAAGTGACTTGGTATGGTCTCAGCTCTGCTTCTGCAGTTATGTTTTACCCCTCAGATAGGGCAGCCTGGGAGGTTGAAGAGAGCCTTGAGAGAATTGACTATAGTTGTCTTGGAAGCTCAAGTTTTTATTTACTTCAAGCCTTGAGTTAACCTCCTTGGCAAGCTGAAGAGGTCATTACCTTAGTGAGCGATTTACAGGCATGTTAAGGCCTTTTTACAGTGCCAGAACAGTCTTAAGGGAACCTTAGACTAAGTGAAAATCCGATCTGTAAGCCTCAGTTTTAGCTTTCCTTAAAAATGGAGGAAAGACTATTTCCCTGTGTTGCAGGCTGCAGTGGTTCAAAAGGAGTTGAAATCCTCAGATGGACAAAACTCCTGAGTGCAGAAGATATTGGTTGTGTTACTCATGACTCATATTTCTCCGTGGGTGTCAAAATAATCTTGTTTTCTTCTCATTTGCACATGTTGTGCTTTCCTTCATCAATGGAAAACCCTGTTGTATGTACTCGAGTGTCTTCCCCCTCCTTAGACCATCTCCCAGCAGGTCATGAGAGCAAATGCCCAGGGTTCATTGTGAAATTCTGGTCTGATGTGACACATCTGATTTTGTAGAAATACACTTATTCTTGCAGCGCCAATTAGCCAGCCAAAGAATGGATTTAAGAACCTCAGTAATCTGTTTAACATTTCAGATAGCCTTCAGATTTTTAATTACTTCAACATTTATTCAGAGGTCTGGATCCTGACACATTCTTCTGTGTCAATTTTCTTTTCAAAACAATTTTAGTTACTTTAGAACTTGGACTTTGTACCTCTTACAGCTGACCTAGAAGTATATTTCTTCAGCTGTTCTGCTGTTTGATTTGTTTTGCTGTGTTTTGTGGTCTAACACACCGCCTCAGATTTGGGTTACTAGCAAATTTTATGCTCAAACCACAACAAAGAGCACTGGGGAGTAAATAGAGGAGATCATGCAATTTCAGCACTTCAAGGAAAAACTGATTGTTTGCCTCAGAAAGCACCTTTTTATTGAAAAAAAATATTTTTGTGGGAGTCAGGAGAGGAGAAACAGCAAGAGAATTTTTCCTGGCAGGAAATTTTAATAAATTACTGTTACTTTGGTTTCACTTTCTCATGCTCTTATCATCTTAGCTATAGTTTTCTCCCTTCCTTCTTCTTTGGCCCTGCTCTTCTTACCCATCAATCACCTCTCTTCTCACTTGTTTCTCCATCTTCTTAAAATTCTGTCCAAGGAGCTAAAAAACAGCACCAACCAAGTAATTCCACAAATTTCCTAGTTCCTCTCATCTTCCAGAACTGTAACTAGCACTATATCTGTGGGTCATCACTCAGTTTCCTCTGCCTACATATTGTAACCTTTTCTTTTGAAGACGACTGTTGTAACTACTTGAAGAGTGAGCTCTCCAAGCCTCAGATACTCTTCTTCTCTTGTGTTCTCAGTCCTCAGCTGACCCTTGCAAGTTACCAGCATATTGCTGGGAATCTTCGTCCTGAGCAAACAGGATAAAAGTTTCTTGCTATTCATCATCTTAAAATCCAAATACAAAATTGTTAATTACAAATAGCAATCTCATCTCTCACCGTTTTGCTGAAAATACTTAAATCTTTGCATAGCTTCCTTTTGTGTGTTTTGAACCTTGTTGATTTTATTTTCTTGTTGGTAGCCTTTGAAAATTGGTCTGTGTTTTGAGTTGCTAAAACAGGTGCTATGTTTTTTAGCTACTGCTCAAACTTGTAATACCTCTTCCTTTTTGCAGTTGCTCATTAATGTTTTTTTTCATCCAATATTCCCACATTTTTTGGACAATATTAAGTGCTTCTCCCTGTTTCTCACCACACATTGAAAGAACAACTCTGGTTAATTCCTACATGGGATGCTTGTCTTTTGATCTGCTTGATTTGCTGTTTTCAGATGTTGAAATGCATATTTTTTTTCCCTCTTCCCCGTGTTTAGGTTTTGCAGCCTTTATTCACAGTGTTCCTCTTGGTTTCACTGGGAGTCCAAGTATAGTGAATGTATAATAGCTGCAATATTTATCTAGAGTATGGATGGATTTTCTGCCTCTAGATTTATCTGATTTAAATACATTCAGGGTTGTAGGGAGAGGGACAGCACAGAGAACAGAAATGTCACATACAGTATTATTCTTATTTAGAAGAGCTTAGAGGATGATACATATAATCTGTGTTCAGCTTCTTGGGAAGATCCTGTACCTTGAAGCACTCTGTCTCTGAATCACCCTGAAATTCAAGACTAAGTGACAGGCCTGGTTTCCAAAATGTGCTCTTGTTAATGATATATAAGAAGAGGAGTGGTATTGGTCATTCATACAGTAGTGACTGAACAGTGGTATTTGCAGTTTTCAGGAATTTAATTGATGATTTGAAGTGTTAAATTTTCTACCAGGATTTAGCCATAACTCTATAGGAATGCAGATAGGTCTTATTAGAGGGAAAGTGGCCTTCCTGATCGCAGGGATATAAATGTACTGTGAACAGTGTGAACGCTCTCCAGGGAGACAGAAAAAAGGTTTCACTGACATTCAAAGAGTGCTTTTCTATTATGCCATGCTCAGCCTCTGCCAACCTATTACTGAAACAGAAATACTTGTTTGTTTATAATAATCCTTCTTTCAAATACCAACATGACATGTTTGCTGTCACATGTAGCTTCTTACCACCTAACAGGTTTACTAAGCACAGAAACAGGGGACATGTGGGTTGCTTGAAGAAGCAGCTTCAGTTTTTTAGTTGCTAATGAGTTTTATTCTTCCACAGGGAGAAAGAGGCTTGCCGGGACTACAGGGTGTGATTGGGTTTCCTGGAATGCAAGGACCTGAAGGTCCCCCTGGGCCACCAGGGCTTAAGGTAAGAACTTAAGCTTTACTATTTAAAACACTCAGACTTCCCTAAATTATTGTCCCTAGGAAAGACAAAGCTCTCTCTTTTCCTTTGCAGGGTGATACTGGAGAACCAGGACTGCCAGGAACAAAAGGAACAAGAGTGAGTTCCAACTTACTTTTTTGCAATTCTGATGTCTATGGGTTTATATGTCTTTAACTCTCCATGGCTGCCTTCAAGTGCAACACGGAGTTAGTCTCTTTTTTGAGTTAATCCATGACATCCCCTTGTGATGCACAATAATTTCGAATTCTTGCTTTTGCTTTTGAAGCTCTTTTTGCATTGGTCATTCAGTGCCTTTGTCCATTTGCATTTTCACCTGGTACTCACCACTGCATCAACAGCACTGGTTTTAATATGCCTTTGATATTTTTCTGACATACCAAGAATCTTTTTTCCAGCTTGAATATGAACCAACCTTACTACCTCGTGCAAAATTCTTATTTATCTAACCTCCATCTAACCTCCTTGAAGCACTCCAGCAGAGAAGCTGACACACCTGTGAGCACATACATGTTAAAAATGTGCACAAAGTGCAGAACCAAATTAAAGCCGGGGATGGAGATCTCCTGACTTTGCTAGAAGAGGCTCTGAATAACCCTGTAACCTTCCTGCCTTTATTTGTGTTTAATGTGGCACTTATATAACACTTATTTTATCACATATTAGCCAGGGCCATGTCTTTTGGGGTTTTGTGAGGTGCCAAGATCATTCTGAGCATTTTCATGTTTCATAATGTAATGATGAAAGGGCATTCAAATGACTTGACCAGTAGTGATGCATATATTTTCAGCTACACTCTCTTGTCTGCAGATTTTCAAAATGCAGTCTCAGTTTTGTTCTCCATTTGCCTGCAGTTGCTGCAGCACATAGAATTTGCTGAATCAGCTGTAGTTTCTGAGCTATTACAGAGGGGATATTCTGCTAGATGAAGAAATTCTTATTTTAGTCCATGATGTTCCTGATACCCTGGGGTATCCTGAGTATTAATGTAAATTGGCAACTCCTGACAAATGTGTTCGTGTGCTACAGTTCAAGTAGACTGTGTTTTAGCAATTATAAAGCTTTGGAAGATGTAAATACAGTAACTGAGCATGGGATTCCCATACATCTTTTCTGCTTCATAATATGTGTATTAGGAAATACTGCATGAATAAATAATCTGATAGGATGAAAATGATGTGCCAAGTCTAACTCCTGATTCATTACACTGAAAAGCTGTTCAAGGAGCAAGAGTTACCTCAACCTGGAAGGTTTTTGATAATAAGAATTAGTTGTTACACTGATGTGGAGTATGAAAGATAGAGAAGCATCTTTACAGTGAGTTAACATCCTCTTCTGCTATGAAGAGGTGCCTGCAGTAAATTTCATTTTGGCAACAATGACTGTGAGAAGACAGCACCTCTGCATTCTCTTTTATCTGTACATAAGGCTCTGGCCCAGTTCCTGTGGAAGGAAATCCATAATGCTGCTTAAAAAGTTAAAGACATAAAAAGTTGCTTTCACTTATTGATTACTAAGGTGTCACGTTTGAGAGGTTTTGCAGATTAGAGCTATTTTGTCAAGGAAGTTTAAAAGGAACTGTTACTTGTTTTTTGACTGTCACCACTGGAGATACAACTCAGACTGCAGCTTGTCATTGCTGGTTTTTGTGGATTTGTTTTCTCAGTTTATGTTTTTGTCAATTGCAGGGCCCCCCAGGAACATCAGGCTTTCCAGGAAACCCAGGCCTTCCTGTATGTGTGAAGTATACGTATTTTTACAGAGAACATCAAAGTTTTAACCATGACTTCTGACCTGGATTATTGCTAATATTACTAACTTCTTTACTTTCTTTTCATGTAGGGCATTCCTGGACAAGATGGCCCTCCTGGTCCACCTGGCATTCCAGGATGTAATGGCACAAAGGTGACATTTACATATGATTTTAACAGCGTCTCTGTGTTGAAATAAAAGTATCCCTCAAGCTCATGTTCCACAAAAAAAAAAAAAAAAATTCTTTGTTCCCCTTAGGGTGAAAGAGGTCCAGTAGGTCCCCCAGGTTTACCAGGACTGAGTGGGAGCATAGTAAGTAGATTCTTTCATGCTTGATTCACTTGTTTCAATCCTGATTCTTGAAATGCAAATATAACTGAAATGATATAACGTGTAAGACGTAAAATATACAACACTGAGAAACAATAACATCAAATATGTCTTTTTTCACAGGGACCCCCAGGACCTCCTGGAATGAAGGTACATTTTACTCTAAGTGTGTTCATGTCCTGCTTCTAACAATAAGAATTAGGGTGAACTGTACACCCTCTAAGACTAGCAGTCTTTATATAAGGAGTGTAAAATTGTACCACCATGGTTCACTTCGTACTCTATTCTGCAATCCCATTAAATAAAGACAGTGGGGCAACCTCCAGTTAATAAAAATTGAACATATGTGTTGTGTCATGCAGATCGTAAAAGTGTAAGTATTACACAGACTACGACAGAAAAAAGTAGTACATATCATTAATTATGTATAATATAGTGGCCACCCAATTGTGTATAAAGATTTAGATAGGTTTTGTGGTTCAAACATTTGTTTTGATATTGACATTTCATTTAGATAAATAGTTTCACATAGATAACATTTGTGGAAGAAGGTCATATAACCCACAATATGAGAAGTATCCAACACATACAAAACAGTTTTTATAAAGAAAGAAATTAAACTAGGTACCTTGAGTGCATTTTGTGAACTGGAGAATTAAATATTGAATGTCAACAAAGAGCTTTTGCTCTTTAAAATGAACAGATGTAATTTGGAACTGTAAAATAAACGTAAGTCTAAATGTAATCTCAGATTTGTAATGATGTGACTACCTGAAGTTGTAAAATGCCTTTTTTGTCTTTCTCTCATGTGGGGAGAATTTACTTAGTCTATAAACATTACAGTACTTGAATGTTTCTTCCCTAGGCATGTATGCATAAGTATGCAACTCCTGAAATAAAATCATTTACAATATTGGAACTTTGTACAAAAACACAGTAAAAATGGGATCTTTTGCTATCAAAAAAAAAGAGACATAAAGAAGTGGGTAACAATCAGAATGGTTTTCTAAAGTAGGACAAGGTAGGTTCCTTTATTGAAGAAAAAGGATGCCATAAATGGCTTTTATGTCAAAATTAGGTTTAAGACTGAAGATCTCAGCCTGGAAAAGAGATTGTGAGGTTACCACTTCCATCAGCAGCCAGGTCAGAAACTCCAGTTGTATGGTGGCACTGTAGTAGTGATAGATTTGGTGGGTAAATCTTTTTGATTACCCATTACAGTATAGGAAATTAGAGTATGAAGGAATATTTGGTACTGGAATCTCTTCAGGTGGCTCTAAAAGGCATTTGGCAATTAAGGCCTTAACTTTTAATATCCCTTGCTATGTTTCAGCTGAATTAAAAGAAGATGACTTTTTCTAAGTCAGCTTTCCAAATGATTCTGATCTTTGCATAGCTCCAACTTTCCTCTCATCTCAAGTGTTTTTGAATGTATTTGAATGGATGTTCAAGTATTATTCTTTTTCTTTTCTTATTATAGGGAGATCCAGGTGAAGTGATTGGTCTTTTACCTCCTAGTGTGCTAAAAGGTGATAAAGGCTTTCCTGGCCAACCTGGACTACCTGTAAGTCTGAATGATGTTTGAATAGCAGTGAGCTTCAATTAAAATTATATCAGTATAATGAAATTATGAAATAAATATCACTTTTTAATTACGCCATTCTAATTTTCCATAGGGTCCACCTGGAACTCCAGGGTTTCAGGGACCAATGGGTCCACAAGGGCCTCCGGGAGATCCAGTAAGTTTCCTCTCATGGTGGTTTGCACTTTACTTATAGAGCTTTATTATAGGAAAGTTCTACAAGGTGTGTGCAGCTGGTGTTTGTTGGGATTTGAGAAAGATAACCTGTGGTTCAAGGCTTCATGTTTAGCCTCCTGGACTCTACCGTATCAGGAATGAGTGAGTGACAGGTTTTCAACAGCAGCTGCTCCTACAGTCATCTTCTCCTCTTTCAGGCTTGGAGAGTGTCTTTGTGTGGGAGGGGTTGTAATAGTTATGCCTCCTTTCCCCTGTTTCCTCACTTAATTTATAGAAAATAAAGTACAAACGTAGCAGCCAGATCTAAATGAAAATGTTTGCTGAGATTGTTCTTATGGGCAGCCACAGTAAGTAGTACTGTGGAAAGCAGGATATCAACTGTCTGGTTTTATGGTAATTGCCAAATGCTGAAAGTATTTCAGCTATTTGACATTTTGACAGGTCTAACAGATACCTTCTCTTTCTGCACTGGATGCAGGTAACATTATCAGGGATTGGTTATTTCCATCTGATAAAAGTCCGTCCAGTGTTTCTGGCTATTAAAGTGAGCTGTGTGAGATTTCTTACCTTTCTGAAGAAAACTGAAAGTGTCGTAAAGGAAAATGGTAGTACAGTTTAGTCAGCAGTTGCACTTGCTGATGTGAAAAAGAAGAATTTCAATGAAAGAAAGGTGAGGAGTAATATTTAGCATGCAAAACTGCAAAAAAAAGTGTCAGCAATAGAAATATTTTTCAGTGCAGTACCACAGACATTTTTGATTGTCTCTTGTCTAGATACTGATTAGGTCCAACACTTTTAACTGCAAAACAAGGTCTGATGAGATATCTTAGACAGATTGCCTTTGTTTTTATTATTTATTCTAAGTTGTGAATTATGCACAGTAGCAGAAAAAGACTTTGCATCTTGGTTTAACGGAAAGATTTGCATTTTTGTTATCTTTATCGAATAAGGCATTATTCCACCTAGTGTACTGTATATTACATACATACATATGCTAAAATGTACTGTCTTGTAGGGTCCCCCAGGGCCACCAGGACTCCCAGGTGAGAAGGTAAGACTCTTTTTATTATAAAGATTAAGTCTATTTGTTTATTTATTTGGCACACCAGATCCCCAGGTATCTGGAAACTAATGGTTCTAAAGGAATGGGTTTTTCACACTTTGGGATCTATTTTATGTCTTAAGGGGCATCATAAAGAGAGATTTTTAACACATTTTTTAGTTTTTTTTTTCAAATCTGCTTAGAACTGTTATCTCACTTGATCAAATCAGTAGTAATCGCAACATTCTTGATTATTTGAACTCATCTGAAAATGCCAAAATTTTCACTAAAATGTTGAAAGAAGCATACTGACAGTAAAATTATCCCATCAATTTTATTCTACCTATTTTTTCCATGAATTGCTGTGTTGCAGGGCTTAAAAAACAGCAGGGAGGTTAAGGACATAGTTATTTATTTGTTACGCGTGCATTTAAAAGACCTATTCTGTGTTTTATATCCTCTCAACTTTTGCTGTGTTCAGAATACCTTCATATCAGTGTTGTATGCACGTATGCACTGCTGGTAAAAATTGACTAAGTATATGTAATTTATATTTTCAGGGCTACATGGGCTTGGGCTTTCAGGGACCCAAGGGTGAAAAGGTAAGTCTCTTGAAAACTTCTAGAATGCAACTGTCAGAAATATTTGTATACTGTTTTGAATAAAGTGTTGGAATCAATCAATGGAGAAAATCAGCATTGTAATTTTTGGAAGACTTGAGTAAATCTGTAACTTACACCTAAATGAATGAAAGTCATGAACAGTTACAGACTTTGTTCATGATGATGTTATACCTGGTCATTAATTTAGGTCATTATCCTGTTTTCCAGCTGTGACGAGTGCCAACTACTTTAGTTTGCAGTAGGCAGATCTGGAAACATTTGCTCTGTATGTTAGAACTCATAATGAGATTTATTTCAAGTTGATTTAATTCTGAGGGATAAGATTTAATGTGCTGTTCAGAATTATCAGAATTGTTGTAGGACTCTTGAGGGCCTGTCTGCCTTAGTTTGGTTTGGCACTGTATACTTTTGAAGCAGATCTTTCAGTTGTCCCCTTTTGCTGTGTTTTGATTCAACCGGGATCTGTTTTCAGAGCACACAGACTGGTTTGCTTTTGAATGAAACTAAGCCAAAAGATGTGCTCCAGAATCCCATTTATTCTCTTAACCAGCATCAAATTAGAGACAAAATATGTTAGGTTTAATCTGTTACCTCTCCCACTGAGAGATCTAGGCTAAAGTGCCTTATGTTGCGTTTTCAGAAGCCAGGAAATGCATGCAGTCGTGGTTTATTCAGTAAATTGAGAGTGTGTCTGAGCCCTTCTCTAGAAGCTTGTCATGAGTGTCATTGATAGAGGCCTTTTGGAGAATAATTATATTACCTAGGTGCATTTTTTTCACCTACCACCTTATTTATGTATTTTGAGCCACACTATTCCCAATGGATAGAATTTCTTGTGATGTGACATATTGTTGAAAATGACTTGTTATAAAATTTCTTGAAAAGTGTTGATTATAGAGGTGGAGATTTCCTGGACTCCTCAGGTTTGTCTTTAGCAAAAAATAATGGTATTTCTATGCGTTACTGATTGATAGAAATGTATCAAGCCTTTTTGGAGATGTTTTTGCTTTTTTTTTTTTTTTTTTTTTTGCATTATATAAGTTGATGAGGTTCTGACACATACATGCTAAAAAAAGTATGATCCATAGTTACCATCTTGAAGTTGGCCTTTACAGACAGTTGTAAAGCTGATGGAACACTATAAGCTTTGACTAATATTTTCCTTTAGGCATCAACTTTCTGCACCTGACCTCTTTCCTCCTAATCTCATTTCTTGCTAAAGGAGGCACTAAAAATCTTTTGTGCTGTTGCAATAATTAATTGGATGTGTTCCTGGTGTTCGGTATTAATCATCACCCTCATAGGAGATTCAGAGATCTTTCTTAAGGGCAGTCGCTGTCTGTCACCCATTTTCAGTTGTGTCTTCTATAACTGTGTATGTAACCCTTTCTCCTACTGATTTTGCTGAAATAAGAGTTTTTAAAAATCATTTAGCTGTATTTTTAAAAGCAAGTGGTAGTTCTCTTCAATGTTACTGGTCTTAGTAATGTTTGTTCTCAGTGTCAGTAGTGTTTTCAATGGACTATCCTGGATTTGGTGTTGACAGGGAGAACAAGGGGTAAGAGGCCCTCCAGGCCCGCCAGGACCAGCACCACATATGAAAGAAAAAGGGAGTGAAGTCATAAAGGGAGAAAAGGTGAGATCTTAAATGATTAATCCTTTACTCTTTGTTAAAATATGATCAATAGGAATTAGCAAACAAAAGTCAAACAGGAAATAGACAATATTAAGTCACCTACAGCAAATTTTTTAAAAAATTATCCCTGTTTTACTTAATGAATGAATTTTAATCGTCTTTTTAGAAGTTTCTCTGAAAAATATATGATAAATGCATAAATAATTGCATAAATGAGTAATGCATACAGCAGAAGACTTTCTGAGGAAGGAAGAGTTATAAGCATAGTCCCATAAACACCAAATATTCTAAAAATTTTAATTAAGTAGCTTATACTGGATTTTCATATACAGAATCACATTCATGAAGTCTGAGTGCTAGTGATTTTTTCAATTAATGAATTAGGCATTCTAAGCAGTGTATACTAGTATAATAAACTAGCTTAATGGATTCACATTTTGTGTTTATCTAACTTCTTGCACATCATACTCAGAAGCATAATTCTTCAAGTGGAGAACTGAGTTAAGTGTTCTTTTGCTGACATGAAGAATTAAATGAATTACAGCTTAAATGAATAATGGCTAAGATTTTGCTTACTAATCTACATTTTTTTTAATAATTTTATTAGGGCGATCCAGGTGAAAAGGGTGAACAGGGAGCCCCAGTGAGTATTGTGTACATTTTTTTTTTTAATTACTATAAAAATGGTGAACAATTGGATAATGGTCCTGAATATCTTTATAGCTATTTGATAAAAGCAAATTTACTTTATAATTTGGCAGTATTTTTAATCTAGTGTGTATTTATTTTCCAGGGATTGCCAGGTTCAGGTTTCCGAGGAGAAAAGGGAGAACCTGGGAAGCCTGGTCCACGTGTAAGTGTGCTCAACGTTATCAACACCATAATTACAATCATTGTATTGTTTCCATAAGCTAATTAAACTTAGTAACCATTAGTGAAACAGCAATTTGGTATATTTCAAACAATCAAGTTTTGCTGTATGACAGGTGTACAAGTCAAGGTAGTAATAAAATAGTGATATTAGTATGTAACATACTTTCAGATACCTAAAGGCACCTAACAGTAGTTTGCAGTGCTGAAGGCAAAGGCAAGACTCCATTGATCCCAGCTGAAGCAAGATTAAGTCATTCCATAACAGAAGGAAAAGCAAAGCAGAAAAAATCACTCTGTAGAAATGACTTTAGCCAAATGGAACATGTTGAATTTATTTCAAATACTTTTACGTGCAATCTATAAAATAATCCTGCTTAGCCTGAAGGTGCCATTTCTTTCAAGGAAGATGAATGGAGCAAAAAAACTAGATCACTGAAGTACGTTCGCTTGCTGATTTCTAGCCTGACTGTAGATGCTTGAGGCCATAAGGCCTGTTACGTTTGCCTAGTCTGACCTATACCAAAGTCTCATCCATACAACTTCTGCATGAGTCGTACTATATCTTTCATAGCTGAACTGGTAAAAAAAGCATCAATTTTCTACAGACAAATGTATCTAAGACATTGTTTCTCAAATTGCGGGTCTTCATAAACTCTTAGAAAAAGACCCAGCATTTCTATAGGCCTTGAATTATACTTCAAACTGAAAAAGAGGAAATCTCCCTCTCCACTGTACTTCAAGGTCAGATGTTCTGTCATCCTTTCAGTAAAGATATGTGATGAGATTGTCTTTACTATCATGTATATATTTTTGCTCTTACAGTAAATGGGGGCTTGAAAGATGAAAGAATGGAGAAATATTGACCTAGAACTTGTTGAGGAAACCAGAGCGTCTCTGAATGGTTCAGAAATATAGCTTTCAGTTTCTGCAGAGTTCCCTGAACAAAGATTCTAAGATATTTTATATATAATTGTTGCTGTTCATGGAAATCATAGCTACTTCTGAAATTAAAATAAGAGTTGAAAGATGAACAGGTGTTAGGATCTGATACTCTAGTTTCATAGAATGAAACGATATGATTAATTGCAATTACAGTGTACATTTGAAGATTCTCCTGACTTTACAGATCATCTTTTTAATTAGTCATTCAAAATTATTTGTAACCCTTCTTTATAAGATACCATAGCTGCACACTTCGTTGGTGGTGGCCTGTTCACATTTGTTGTATCATTTGTATCCTCCAGTAGATTAGGCTACAAGCCTAGGTTCCAGTCCCTTCATAGTTCATACGAAGACAAAGGGAATACTGAAAAGTAGGTTAGTCATCTAGGTCATTTGTCACGTGCCTGCTGATTACCTCAGTGGAATCTTACCTCCTCTGTAGGCTAACATGGTGGTCTAATAGTGAATCGTTTTGCTCTGGAGTAGAGAGTCTTGGTTCTAGGTTATCATCCACCTTGTGATTTGAAATTATAGCTTTCAATTTAGGGGAAATGTTTTTTTACCACGAGATTACCATGTGATCTGATACGGGGCCACTTTCCAAGCCTTCTGCTGAAACTGAGCCACAAAATGTCTATGAATAAAGGTTGTGTGAGGCTGGAGAGTATATATAGAAAGGGATGCTATGAAGGGAAAAGTTTCTGGATCTGGTTCCAGTTTCCTGTGCTGTTGATATATTTTGTCTTGAAGCCTCCTTGACTGGGAAATCCATATGTTATTCCTGAATCTGGGAACAGATTTGATGTATTTTATTTAATTCTGCAGCTTGTAGGTTGTTGAGTAACATAAGAACTAGGCAGTCACAATTTGCCTGCTTTGTACCCTCTGCACTATTAGCTGTGTTAGGACACTTCGATTAATGCATTGCAGTAGTGATTGTTTTGTTCTAGTGATTCACTCACTGTATTTAGAAAGTGGCCATCTGTTTAAGCAGAGTGGAACTTGGTGTTTTACAGGGAAAGCCTGGAAAAGATGGTGAACCAGGACCAAAAGGAGAAGCCGTATGTATTTTACTAAATTTCCAGTACTGTTTCTTCCATTCCAGACAAAGAACTGTCTGTGTTAATATAACTCCATTATAAATGTTTGAAATTTTCTAGCCTTCTGAACCATTTACTTAAAGTTGTTGCTTTCAGTGAATTAGTGACTAGTTTGAAGATTCAAAACTTTGATGCTGCCAGGGCTGAGATGCAACTGTCTTTGTCTTTTCTGGTTTTGTTGTCTTCTACACACAGGGTTTGCCTGGTGGGTTTGGGATTCCAGGACGACCTGGGGAGCCTGGTGCAAAGGTGTGTAGTAGCGGCCTTTGCTTCTCATCACGCAGAATGAGGAGTTAAGAGCTTGTATGGCGTGTTCATAGATGCACATTGAATCAATGAATGCACATAAAGCAATATTAAATGAATGTTACTAAGTTGTAAAGTCATCACTCAGAGACCAGGAAAGTCAAAATTAAGGTAGCTTAGGTATCTTCAATTTAGCTATCTTATATAAATTGATTAATGCAAGATTTATTTCCCCAAGCTCATTGCCCAGCCAGCATATGTATAAATGTATTTTCCTAAAAATTGCAGTTTCCCTCTACATAGTATAAAGCAGTACAGGCCCACAAGCTAACTACTTACTGCTTATTATAATGGTCCGCTTACTTATAATTTGGAAGTTGTATGAATCTGTATCAAAATGTTCATTTGAACAGGAAAACCTATTTTGTGGGGAAGAAAATCTGATCTGGATTTAAAATGTAAATTTTGTTTTGGTTTAGGGTGACAAAGGTGAACGAGGTTTTCCAGGGCCTCCAGGAAGAGTAAGTAGAATAAATTCTTGTTTTATTTTAAGCTTAGATGAAAATACAGATTTTGTGAAAGTCAGAGTGCTCAAATGAGGAAAAAAAAGAGAGGCTATGCATGTTCTGATCTCATTCTAATTGGTTATGTTGTCATTTTTTCTTAGTGGAAACAGAAGTTGGATACAGTTCTTTTAAGTTTGCTTGAAATTTGGGAAAGGAACTCTCAAAGAAAATTAATTTCAAATGTTTTTGACTATGAAAATGATAGGCACTGTTAATCAATACAAAATATCCAAAAGAGAGTTCAAAAGAGTCAGTCTGTCAGTTTTGCAGTCTATATTTTTTTTAACACTTCAAAAAAAAATAGGATTAGTCAGCAACAAATAGATCAATGATGGTGCTGCTTCCCCAGCATGGGGGAAAACTCCCAACATCTGCTAATTTGATTTGAAAAATTCTGTGTACTTCCTGGATATTTTATTGTAAATGTTAGTGTCCTATATGTCAAGGTCAGATCAGTGTTAGCAGAAAATTTCAGAACAGAGCATTTTAAAATTAAAGGTAATATGGACCTAATGGGTTGGTGCTTAGACCATGCTGAGCTTTCTTGGCATCATTCTTGTTAGAAAGGTGCTATAAAACTCTCCAGTTATTCTTACTAATAATATGAATGAATTTTGGTAGAACAGGAAATACTTACTTTCTCTGGTAATTCCTCAGCAGCTACAACCCTCTCAACAGCAATTGTTATATATTGCTGAAATTGCAAGTATAACCAAAACTGATCAAAATTATTATTACAAAACAAAATGGCCTCTGTTCAGTCAGGATAAGATGGTGAGGGCACAATTGTATGTTTCTAGTGTCCTAGTCTTTGTCCTGTAATTCAGCTTATAGATCCCTGTAATTCAGCTTATAGATCCTGGACCAATAGATACCTTTGGTGAAAAAGGAGAGCCTGGAGTTTCAGGTTTGCCTGGACTGAAAGGTCAAAAAGGTGAAAAAGGTATGTATTTTGTCTTGTCTCTTTGATTGAGTTATGCTTTTAGTTTTGTTATTAAAGGAAATTAAAATTGCACTATCTGTGAGCTCAGGAGCTCTATATGACAGTGAAATGTTCTAGTTATTTATTTAATTGCTTTCAGGTTATTACATTTTGTTATAGTTTGTAGGATGCTTCTTGTCATCATAAATAAGACTACCTTTCAGTTATAATTGGAAAAGGATAAACTGGGATCTGTTTTTACGACAATTAAATAATCCAGTGAGATTGTTTAAGAAAGATGGAAATCAACACATGTAGAGAATCTTGAGACTCCTTTAAAAAAAGACAGTAGCTAAATATTAAGCTTAAAATTGGCTTGCATAATCTACAAAATTCTTCAGGAAACAGAAACTCAAGAATTCCCTTTCCCATTTTCCCTATTACAGACCTTACCCTATTGAAGAAAGATCAGTGGAGAAGATGGCACACAGCAGGGCCTTTTCCTTAAATGTATTGTTTGAAGATATCTATTAATTATTTAACTTAACCTTTGATTCAGGGCATACTAGCTTGTAATATGTACTTAAATAATATGTGCTAGAAGTTCACTGATGTTGGCATTGCTGACTTCACTGCCTAATTGAAAACCTCTCTTTGTAAAGGTTTCCCTGGTATACAAGGAATCCCAGGACCTCCAGGTATGAATTTATGGCCACTGATTTTGTTCATATTTTTCCTGTGTTCTTTTTGGGTGAAGAGTCCTGAGAGATGTTGTTCTTAGCTGCTGCCAGTTACTGCCTGACTTACAGAACATCCAGGCAGTGGCCTCCCAGGGGGTCTAATCATCCCCCTAGACCCTTCCTGTAGATTGCTTTTCTTGTGTTTCTGATGTGATCCAGCTATGCTCTTTGTGTAAACCCTTGATAAATTTCTGCTCAAACTGAAGAAGTAGAGTGCATGGGTCATCAGAGATAGCCCAGAGTATCGCTCCACTGGGCAAGAAGAGCTGTTAAAGTGTGAATGTGTATGGGTATGTGCATATGTACCTATGTATGTATACTTATATGTAGATAATTTGTTTTATTCTCACTTCAGCTCTGCATGTGTTTGCATAAATAGAATAAAATAATGTTTGCAGGGATATATGATGACACTGGTTAGATCAAAGTAATTCCTGAAGGCTTCCTGCTTTTTTTTGACTATGGCACTTGATCTCATAAAAGTTGCCTTTTCGTAGTCTTAATGTTTTCACAACCATGACAACACTGCTACTATGTATATGTGTTTGAACTAAAACCAAAATTTTCTTTTTAAAAATTAAGCAAATAATTTGTTGAAACCTGACTCTAGCACATCCCGCAGTGATACTACTATTACCTCCTTTGCTCACATTTTCTATCTTGACAGTGGCCTAAATATGAAATTAATGTGATCCAGAGTCAGATAGTTTCCAGGAAATTTTTCACAGTTTAGTGAGGAGATACTATATACCGCAGGCTGTAACAGTCCCTGGAGAATTCTGTGTGACAAGGCAAGAAGAATGGTAGCTCTTAGTCTGTCATTACCCTACAGAAATTGAGATTTGTGTGACTCATATCTTCTTGCAGTGTTGCAGAAGGCTCAAAATGGTTTAGCGAGCAAATCTAGTGATTAGTTGTGAACTGAAATAATTCATTAAAGTATGAAGACCTGTGTGGCTGTGCAAATAGCTAAAAGGAGATATTAAGTGTTTTTTTTCCTAGCTGTTTAACTGCTTCTCTTTATTGGCTGCTGTTTGCTTATTATTCCTAGAGTTTTGGTTTTAGCATTTGTGAAATCTGCTAGCAGTGTTGAAGTTCTTAGACATGCTCTCCCTTTCTAGGTGTGCTTCAGATTTGGCTTATTATGAGATAATGAAGTGTGTAATAGTTTTTTAGCTATATTAACTTATGTGTTGCCACTATTTACTACACACCAAAAGTTGATTCAACCAAATCTCCGAAAGGCACTCAGTACAGAATAAGTGTGTTTGTGTAGGGACCTAACCAAAGTGAGTTACTCTGAGCTGTAGTGAGTATATAATCTCAATTCTGTATAAATCACCAACAGTAAAATTACAGTCCCTTTTTTATTTGGCACTAACATTTATCCATTTCTCTGTGAAACCTAATTGAAGTTAATGTGTTGATAATGTTACTATCTTTTCACTTGTCTTTCACTTCACTTTTTACTCTGTTCAAAGGTCGACCACTTCCAGACAGGGTAGGATCACCTGGTGTCCCTGGAGAGAGAGGTGAAAAAGGTGAAAAGGGTTCTCCAGGATTCCCTTTACCTGGACCCCCTGGAAGAGATGGTTTCCCAGGTCCCCCAGGGTTGCCTGGCCCACCAGGTCCTCCAGGCAAAACAGGTAGGAACACACTTGATTTCTTTTCACAATGAAGACTCAACAATGCATGTTGCATGCACAGAAAAAAGAAAAAACAGACAAGATTATAAAAGCTATAATCAGAATGTATTTGCATCATGGAAGAAACATATCTGAGTTGTTAATGGACCAAGTAAAAGCTGTTCTGCAATGCAGCAAGCCACTTGTCTCCTTACTGGGACAAGGATTCTTTGCTAAATAAATGTTTTTAAAATGTCTTCAAATGTTCATTGTGGACTGTTACAATATAACCAAATAATTGACCTTACTACATATTGGTTTCCTCTGTGTCCTAATGTGCCAACCTAGAGATATTTTTAGATTTTCAATTAAAAAAAATAACAGATACTATATTGCTCTTAGCATAAAAGATAGCTGTTCAGTATCACAATTTACAAGTCTGCAATGCCAATCTATGTAGCAGATTGAACCGGTGTAAGAACTGCAGACTGATATACTAGTCTGCCAAAAGTTTTTATTGTGAAATGAAATTATTTTCCAGCAGAATGGGGTCAATACATGTTTATAGGACTAATTGAAAAACCAGTAATAATGTGACAAATACATAATAATATTAGTAGTAATGATAACAACATTATGCAGCTTATGTATAATTAGATTCTGATAAAGCATTTTTAAAGAGAAAAATGTTTTGGTTTTGCTCTGCAATGAAGCAGTGAAGACAGTACATATGAAAGTACTCCGTACTTAATATTAAGCTCCTTACAACTGAAGTTTTAACTTTTATTGAAGGAAAACTTTTGCTATAGGTGATACTGCTATTGTGAGTTAAACTGTCATTTCAACATAAAGAATGATATTCCTATTACAGTAGTTTAGGTAGTCTAAAACTACTGAAAAGATCTTTATTCTCTATGGAATTCCTAAACCAAAAATACTTTGTTCAAAAACAATTGAAGATGCCTAGTTGTTGCTGTGGTTGCCAATGAAGAGGTACAAAATCCAGCATCTAGAATATGAAAATAAATAGGTAAATATTACCTTGCCCTAAAAATAAGAGCAATTCCTGTTTTTCATACATGTTTCTGTCACTGCTTAATTCTGCTCCTTCCCCAGACACTTCTTTAGCATTCTTCAAGTGCATAATGGGAAAGAATTTTTTTTCATTTAACTGTTGTTTGCCAAAGTTCACATTAATATTCTGACTACTGTCTTTGTCCAAAATGATGTCATATTTTATTGGATCAGAACCTGTGCCATGTCATCAAACAGAACAAGCACATTTTGTATTCTCATATCAAGCCTGCTAAATATTATAATTTGTTACCTATTCCAGTTCCTAACATATGAAGTTTCTTGTTTCCAGGAAGCTTGATCAATGTGAGGAAGTTAAATAGATGTTAATGAGCTGTTCTCAACCTAGAAAGTTTCCTAAAACATTGAAAAAAAAAGTCAGCGTACAAAACCCTCTACTTAATTAATTTCTTCAGAAATATTCTTCATTCTCTTCAGGGTCAAACCAGCAATTTTTCACCCACATCACTTTCCTTAGCCAAACTTATAATAAAAATAGATTTTATGTGAATGTTGTTTATAACCTTATTATGCCAGAGCCTTCTTTTCTCTGTAATTCTCCGGGTTTCTTAAGCGGTATATGTGGAATCTGAATACAGAATCCCAGTTAAATTTTTCAAAGTGAATCAAATAGAAAAGTAAAATGCTATCGTGACTTATCACTCTTCATAGATACATTCAGCTGGGACATTCATAAATGCAGCCCTATAATGGAAACTTCAATTTGTCAAACAATATTCTGTGTTGCATTTTCATTGTAGATGGAATTGATCAATGCCAGCAGGGAGAACCTGGTGCACCGGGTAGTCCTGGACTTCCAGGAAGAGATGGATTTCCAGGAGAGATGGGAGAGAAAGGTAATACTGTTTTAAAGGGATTGCTTTCTAGTGCTCTGTACCCTGGAGCTTTGGTATGTAAAGAGGCTGAGCAAGTTAGGCTGGATCCAGAGAAAGTGTACTTAAAGTTAGTTAAACAAATAGTTCATAGACATGGAAGATGTTTCTTGAGTTTCTGGTGAGTAAAAAAAGGATATTGTGTATTGAATTTTGTGACACAAACTTCACTTACATTTCACTTAGCCTACACATTGCTGGAAAATGATGAAGGATGGGACAGGACTGAAAGAGGAGCTGGGAAGAAAGAAGAGGTTGTTTATAGCTCCATTAAGTGTAAATTGAACTATTCATGACAATTTAAGATGTGAATTTTGAGATGAAGAATTAGAGAGGGGAAGATGAGTTGGGAATGGAAATGGTTTATGAATCATTGCCATGAGTATAATTGAAGCTAAAATTGTAACACCTATAAATAAGACTCAATCATGTGTTTCAGCAGCATTGACTAAATGGACATAAAAAAAAATGAGCTGCACTCATTTACACGATGGTTGATTCTTCCTAATCTCATTCTGCTCACTGCTTTTCTAAAACTGCAAAATTGCAGTGACTATAGAGGTTCTCCTTTTTCTGCTTTAATCTTTTTATTTCTTCTGTCCCCAGTGTAAATTTCTTTGATTCTTTTTGATCCTCTTCAGCCTGGTTCCTTTTAACTGTTCTGTTAAATATTATCCCTAGGATAAGACTTAAGTTGATTTTCATAACATTCTTTTAAAAATTTTAAAGAATTTTAAATATCGGTTTGCTGATAAATTCTCTTTGAAGCGTGTAATTAGAAGTAGCACATTTATTTTTATTCTTTCAACATGAAGTGTATTAAACTGACATTTGTCCCTGAATCCACCTGCTTGCTTTAGTCTTAAATCCTTTCACTGTTATCCATTATGTTTTTTGTTTTGTTTTGTTTTGTTTTGTTTTTCAGGTGACAAAGGTGAATCCTGTGTCTTATGTGATAAAGTAGGACCTCCTGGACTTCCAGGACCACAAGGGCCACCAGGTCCAGCAGGTAAAAACTAATTAACTACCTGAGAATTAACTATGTAGTCTAAAATCTAAAAATGCAGCATATATGATAAAATTAATTACTTCTTGTCCCACTAACCAAATTGTTCGTGAAACTAATAAAAGGAGAATGGAATATTCCTATTTTTGGCCTGATTCCAAATTCCCAATGCAATCAACAAGAATTACCAAGGAAGCAGAAACTGGCCACAGTGGAGGGTCTTTGCAAGCTATGGCCCAAATATTTTCATAGAAGATTGTGAAAGTGAAAAAGTATGTGGGAAGCATTTGCTCCATGTGCCCAGGCTTAGTAGTGGCCCATACATATGTTCCTAAGCCTAGCATTAAATTCTGTGGCCAAAAAATGTAATTATCTTTCCGCTACCGTGTGAGAGAAGTGCCACATCCAAACAGGGATATAATACCTAATGTTTGTTCTAGTAGGTGTTAAGAAAAATTAATATGGCTTAGGTAGTTTCAAGGCTCCAGTGGTTACATGATAGGTCTAAATAGTAAGGTGAATTCATTCTTAAATCAAATGAATTATCAACTTCTAGTTTTTGAATGCAGACATATATAGCACATGAATCCAGACAACTTCACTGACTTTAGCAGCATTATGTTGATATAACTGGGAATAGAGTGAGACACTTTGGAAAGGATCACAAAGAATCCACATACAATGAGCTATTTGTAAAAGCATGCAGTAAATAGAATTGTATTTTTGTCTCTCTGATAAGGTTTTCCAGGACAATCAGGCTTGAAGGGTGACAGAGGCTTACCTGGACTTGATGGCCTTCCAGGGGTACCTGTAAGTAATGCCTTTCCAAATTCTATGTATCCTATGAGGCATGTGATCAAAAACCATGTGATCATCAGTGTAGTTGTGAAATAGCTCTATTTAAAAACAGACCAGCACAGTGATATGATAAAATTAAGGAACTATACCTAGAAAAATAAACTAGGAAGCAGTGTGGTTGAGCTGTGAGGGGAAAAAAAGAGCTGTCAGAAATAGGCTATATTTCTGTGTTTGCCCATGATAGGAACTCAGCAGAACACGTGACCTTCTGGCAGAGGAAGCTAGGCAGTGGAATTGGGTAAAAAGTAGGATTTCACAGGAAACAGAAGCAGGTCTGCCCTGACCTTCTTGTGAATGGTTCCAATAACTCTTTGCAGTTGTGTACATGTATATTGAGAGAGAGACAGTGCCATCTAGTGTAGTGTAAGCAATCTAATATTAACATGCAATATACTCTGGAAGTTTGTCTGAATTTTGGGAAATGTGTGGGATATATTTCATAAAACGTAATTAGCAGAAAAACTGATCCATTTTGAAGAAAAAAAGGAAGGCTGTGAAAGTGGATAGTATCCTGATAATATGATAATTTGTAAATTATGTTGATGCAACATAACACAACTCTCAGTGAGTAAGGCCAGATATCAGAAGCAGAACAGCCATAAGCATAGAGCTTGTCTATAATGTAACACAAATTACTCCTAGATGAGCACTGTACTAGCACAATTACATTCAATCTTGTCAGAGTTCACTTGAGTGTCCCTCCGTACACTCGGGTATGCTGTCAAGACCTACCTTAACATACAAGTTCCTGTAGTATAACATGGATTTTGAGACCATTCCTAATGTAAGTAGATTGAGTTTGTCAGTGTCTTCCCAGACTTCTTTTCCCAAAGCTGTTTTCTCCTTCCAGCTGATCACTTTTGGCGACATAACTTCTCAGTGACATGCATGTGCACTATCTTTAATACTGGAGTCATGTGAGCTCCCTCTATCACCAGTGGTAAGAGAGAGGCACCTTCAGAAGTTAAACCAACCCACCTGTATGAATTCCTTACTCAAGGAATCTATTTTTCTCCCTTGAGTATAAGTGTAGATGCCTGAATTCAGCCAATGAAACTTAGCTAGGATGGTGTCCCTTCTCTATTTCCACCACAATAAAAAAGATGATATTACTCAGCGACTGGATTTACTATAATATCAATTTGATCCATGAAAGGAACAGTGAAGAAAAATAAAAGACATCCTAATGTATTTAAACTTTTTTTTGTGTCTGGCATTTGTTCTCAGCACATGTTTTGCCTCACCTTTATATTTTCTTTTTATGCCTCTTAAGTTTTGTTCATATCTTTCATCAGACAAGGACTGGCTGCTGTTCTGAATGCTTTTAAGCTTGTTTTGCTCCACAAAGTTCAGCCAGGTGGTGATCCAGCATATAGTTTAGCTTGGAAAAACTACATAGAGGCCAGCCTCCCAAGCTCACATTGTTTAGAGCCATGCCAGAACATCATAGTCTGATCCAGAACCCACCAAAGCTAATGGAAAGGTTATATTTGACGTCTTCTGGTTCAGGTTTAAGCGGAGGGCATGAATCAGCCATAAGCAGTGGACATTGCCCATGAAATTTGTGCTTTACTACCCTAGTGGGTAGGTCTGATGCACTTGAAAGTAAAGAGAGTGTTCCTATGAGAAAAGTTCTTCTAAGTCCTAGAAAACATGTAGGGAAAAATTGAAATTCTGGAAATCCTATAGGTATATTATTAGGTAGACAATTTCTTCCCAGGAGACCTTACAAAACTCTTTTCTGAGCATGTGTGTAGTATTCTGATAGTACCACCTGACTGATTTTTAATTGTACAAAATCAACGAGCATTAGTAATGAAGGAAAACGTGTATTTGCATCAACTAAATGTCATAAATAAACTACCCAGGGAGAAACTTTCAGCCTTCAGTTAGCTCTTGTGCAAATAACATCTGAGTTTGTATAAGACAATGAATTCAATTTTGTAGACAGCCTATATATTTAACAAATATTGTAGTTGATTTAAAAGGTTTTGAACGAAAGAAAATCATGGGTAGGGCTTGTATAGGCAGTTTAAACCTGTAAATTTATCTGAGATTGCCTTTGCATACTGGAAGTGTTAATTTCCTGTATTAGTACTACTTCTGCTGGTATTGTAAATTATCATGGAAATGTAGAGATACTTTTGTTGCATTTGCATCAGGGAAATAGGTTCCACAGTGTTACAGAATTCATCATTTAAAGGTTGGGGCAGACACTTTAACTCTGAAAATTCCTTTTTAAAAAGCCCTGTTTACCTTGATGCTGATATTATATAGATATGCATAACTGAAATCCAAAGGGTAATCTGTTGAAAATTCAGTTGTTTTTTGGTGTTGTGGCCTGCAATTCTTGTGTAAGTGGTGTAAGTTTATATGTACCATCTAAAATGATATAACTGTCATATAATAAACAACAAAATAGTCAAGAAGATTTGCATTAATTCCTTATTCACACTGCTGTATACTGAAAAATATTCTCATTTGACCTCCTCAATCGAAAACTTAATGGTTTCCTTGATTTGGGTCTACTGTTTAATTTCTGAAGATTTGTTTTCTTTTATATCAGTTGAAGGATTGGTAGGGCAACTGATGATACCTGAATTTATGAAATTTCAGGGGCCCCCTGGCACTCCAGGACTTATGGGCAGCCCAGGGGCAAAAGGAGAACCAGGAGATTTTTCTTATGATTCTATCCTGAAAGGTGAAAAGGGAGATCCTGGTTTCCCAGGGCAACCAGGTACTCCTGGAAGAGAAGGAAGACCAGGAAAAGATGGATTGCCAGGTCCCCAGGGTCCGAAAGGAGCATCGGTATGTGTTTCTTTACATTTACATATTGTCCTACCGTGTGTTTATTTATGTTTGTATACTGTTCTATACATTATGCCTTTCATATCACATGCTTTTATGCCCTATACATGGTTTATGTTTATTGGCTTTGTTCAATGTTCCACATCTTGCCCTTACCTTGAGTAGTTCATTCTTCCTCAGAGGAAGATTCCAATTTCCTTGTAACTAGTGAAGAAGACAGTCCTTCAGCAACAGACTATTTCAGAGTTAAATTTTGACCCTTTCTTTTTACATGTCATGTAAATAAGTGATCTGACTCAGATGTATTCACATGGATTGTTACTTTCAGGACTAAAGAGCAAGGTTACTTTCCCCACAAAGTTTTGGGCATGGACAACAGTTTTGTTCCTTTCTCCCTTTCTCACAGGTTGATAGTAAGAACTAGTACAGATGATTTAGCTAACACCTGGAGATAACTGAAAGAATGCAGTTATTCAAGTAGAGATTGTTAAGACAAGATTCAGCTCTGTTCTAGCATACTACTCTTCTTGTGGAAACTAATGCTTCAAAGTCTTGTGCTGAGGGAGTTAGGCTGATACGGATGTGGAGCTGAATGTGGAGCTCACAGCTGCTCCCAGATCCACCAGTGGGAACATAGTCTACATGGTCCAGTTAGCAGCACTGCACACTAGTTGTGATTTCCATGTGCTGTTCCACATGGGACCTAGTTCTATTTCCATTGAACTCCGTGATAAAAAATTGACTTTCTTCAGCATTACAGATACCTGTGCTAAATCCAAGTTACAGAATATTCAAAGAGAGAGGATGACGTGTTCTGTCTTGCCAGTCAGGCAAGAAGTACACTTATACTTTCCAAAAATTAGGGTACAGCTGGCTTGAAAGGAGAACGTGGTCCCCCTGGCCAACCTGGATTCCCTGGAGTACGTGGTGAAAGAGGTTTTCCTGGCCCTCCAGGGATAGGCGCGGCAGGGTTACCTGGTGACAAAGGAGACAGAGGCTTTGCTGGAACCCCAGGTTTACCAGGCCTTCCAGGTAATGCTATAGTATGCTTAAAAAAAAAAAAAAAAAAAAAAAAATTGTGCCCTTTAAGTGCTACAACTCTTTCTGGATCACCAGAATTTAAGCTTGAAATATAAATACTTTCTCATTTAAAACAGTGTTTTCTTTCAGTGGTATAATTGCAAATCTTTGAGGGCAGTTTTCTTGAAGAGTTTGTTAGGCCAAACGGGATGGTTTAGGTTCGTGCTAAACTGAGTTCATCCTAGTTTTCTATGAATCTTCTACAAAAAAACTTCATAGCAAGTCAGCTGTAATGGTATGAATGGACTAATATTGCTGGTTAGGTGAAAAGTACTTGTTTAATTTTATCGGGTCCAGTACTTAATACATCTTTACATTCGCAGGAGCAAAGGGTGAAGCAGGACGAAGTGTACCACTTCCCGGACCTCCTGGGGCGGATGGCCTTCCTGGGCCACCTGGTTTCCCTGGACCCCAAGGTACATTAGCCTGTTAATCTTTGTTTAATGATCATAATGACTCTGTTCCCCAGAAGATAGCCTTTGAATTAACATTTGTCTTGTTTTCTCTTGCAAAGGTGACAAAGGGAATCCTGGGCTTCCAGGTAGACCTGGCCTGCCAGGAGAAAAAGGAGCTGTTGGGCAGCCTGGTATAGGGTTCCCTGGACCTCCGGGACCCAAAGGTAAGATAAAGTTATCCGTCTAACAGAGCTGATGTAACTGGAGTGTGGATGGAGGCCTGAATTGTCATCCAGCCATGGCTGCATGAGGTTTGGGAGGTGCAGCTGAAGAACCTCTCTTGTCCACAAACACCACAATAAGCATACTTTCAACACACACTTGCTTTGTGCAGTGATGTGGTGCAGATACAGACAGTGTCAAAGCTACTGCTAGAATAGAAAATGATATAGCACAACATTTTACATTGCAGCAACTGAGGTTGCTGAGAGATGAGATGACCTTTCTGAAAGATGAAGCACTATATGTACTTGGTCAAAAAAACGTGCTGACATAACTGCAACTTTTTTGAGCCACAGCTAACAGCTCTGCTGTGTCCCAGGCAGCTGAGAGTGGTTTGGTTAGAATACCACCTTACTCAGCATAAGTTTAGCCTTCCCTGCATGGCCGTTGTCAGGGTATGCACATAGCTTAGAGGGAGTCTAAATGTTCATATTCTAGTTTTTGATTTCTGGGAGATGCATTTCATAGTGCTGCTACCCATTTAGAACTGGATGACTAAGCTTTCACCAGCCACCTCGGTCCCCAAAATTCTTGTGTCTTCATTCATGATTCCATACACCAATGAACTGGGAAGGTCAGAAAGACTTAATAAGGAGAAAGGGCAAATCTTCACCTGTCACCACCTCTAGTTCCTCTGAGACTGATGTGGGATGAACCTGAACAGAAGAGGCTCATTGCATGTGAAAGAAGATTTCTATATGCTGTTTGATGCCAGCAAGAAAGGAATAACATATCAAATACATTTTTCAAGGACCCTTCCTTGAATTCAGTCCTGCCCAATACCTTTCCTGGGGCTTAGCCTAAAAGCTGGATTTCCCTCTCCCTGAGACCTTTGCCTGGGAGAGGAGCTTCATCTCAATTTATTGAGAGTGTGCCGGTGTTGAGTGAGTGCTATCTTTAATTGATTTGCAAAATGTTGTATGTATTCCTTCCTGCATTCCTAAGGGACAGTGCATGGGCCAGCTGTGTCATAGAAATCTTCTGTGTGCAATGTGTAGGACCTGTCACACAACATATGCTGAACAAAAGGTGTTGATTCACGGATGGATTTTCTTGTGCATCCCTCAGTCTGATGCCCCACACATTAAGTTGCCTTTTCTGAAGACTTTGGGAACCCAGTTTTGCAGACAGGATGTTTCTTAATGACATGAACCCACAGGGCTATTCATTTAAGAGGAGACACTCAGCATTTATTTCTTCTGAGTGGTTGTTTCTCATCAGAAGCCAAGTGCTGCATGAAGTTCAGCGTTTGAATCTCTGTTGAGACTTTCGAGTGCTGGCATCCCTAGAAGTTTGACATAAAAGACTACACAGACCTTTTCACACATGTCACAGTGCTGATGGGAATAGTTCAGTTAGAAACTTGAAGAAACAGCAGAGGACACTCACAGGCAGAGACAGTAATGATGTGAGTATTGTTTTGTTTTATAGGTTTCCAAGGTCAGCCTGGCTCGCCTGGTCTGCCGGGGACTCCGGGAACCCCTGGCCTTGATGGTTTGCCAGGTGTACCAGGTTTACAAGGTCAAAAAGTAGGTGTTGGCTGCTGATACTGTTATCTGTGACTGCCTGTGTTAACAGGAATGTGTGCAATGATCCTGCCCTTTTTTTTTTAAAAAAAAAAAGAATGTTGGCCAAACTGTCCTTCATCTTATGTTTCCTATTGTGCACACAAAGGAACAGAGTAGGTGGATGAATGCTTGACATTAAAGCTAAAGGGCTTCAAGCTCTCTCCTGAAGTCATGTGTAGCAATCTGCCTCTGAATGATTTAAATAGAGTCAGTGAGTGAATTCTTGTTTTTGATTTGTTGATTCCCAATCTATTGTGTTTCTTTGGCTAGGGTGAACCTGGTGTAGGTCTCCCTGGCCCTAAGGGATTGCCAGGCCCCCCAGGCCCAGCTGGCATCCCTGGAGAAAAGGGAAATCCTGGACTGCCTGGCTTACGTGGGGAGCAAGGCTTTCCGGGCATACCTGGACAGCAAGGATTCAGAGGTAACGTTGCCAGAAAAATACAGCTCTGTATTTCTATTTCTTTTTTAAAGTCACTCCCCTGTAGATGCAGGAAAAAAGTTATTGCCCTTTTTCTTTCTCCTCGTTTTCTCCTACCAACCACCTGTAACAAATGCTAGCAGCAAAGAGCAGCCCTTCCTCTGAGCCCAGGCAGGACGTATTAGAGGCTGAAATGAGGTCTTGTTGGCCAAGTTCTTCCAAAGCAACTTGTCCAGCATCTTCAGCAAACAAGATTTCAAATAACATTGGAGGATGCCTGGTCTATGTCTCTGTGTCCCCGCAGGTGACCCCGGCCTCCCAGGACTGCAAGGCTTGCAGGGCCCTCCGGGCGCGCCGGGGCTGGGCCCACAGGGGTCGCCAGGACCCGCTGGGCAGCCAGGACTCCAGGGACCGCCAGGTGAGAGGAAAATATTCCCATGACAGTGCTTAGGAACAGACTTTTGGCATAGATGGATATTGGCATTGGTAAAAACGTTGCTTCTGAACTGTTTTGCAGTGTGAGGTCGGTGGGGATGCATGGGGGAGTATGTCAGTGGGCCTCCTTCATCTGGTCCAAAACACAGGGTGAGGTCTCCTGAGAAAACATCTGCCATTTTGTTCAGTCTGCTCAGGTCATCAGTAGGCAATATGTACAGGGTCATAACCTCACTTAGAAAATGAGGACTATTTCTGCTGTCTGACTTTGAGTCTTCATTCTTCATGCCATGTAATTTCTGAACTGCAGGTGGATATTATCAGATATTCTTGTTAACAGTATTCCCTGTGCTCTGTTAAGGACTAATCCTGTATCTTCTGTTTCTCCTAGGACTTCCTGGAATAAAAGGAGAAAGGGGCTTCCCTGGTATTCCAGGTCTAGATATGCCAGGACCAAAAGGAGATAAAGGTAGCCAGGGACAGCCTGGAGTACCAGGGTCTGTGGGATTACCTGGCCTACCGGGTCCACAGGGGGCTGTTGGACTGAAAGGATCAGCAGGTAAACATCTTTCCTTGGGTAAATGGCATCTTTGACAACAGTTTTATTGAGTTGTGGTAGCATGCCCTTTCACTCAGTTAGGAACTGATCCATCAAAGGGTCCAAACTTGGGAAAACACATGGGCTGACATCAGTAAAACAGCTCTGTGTATGTGTAACTGAACTACTACTTAAGTCCTTTGGTGGATCAAATCCAGCAACTTGCAGGAACTAGCCTTTAGCCTGTAATACTGAAAGGGGATTATTCTGCACAGTTTCAGTGACAGAATGTGGTTTAATAATGCCTTTGTTAATGACAGCATAGTTTACTGTAATAGGAAGTTTTAAGAAACTGTCAAAACCCCATTACAAACTGTGTTCTTTATGCTGGTTTTCACAATACTGTTTTTACCGTTCTTTTCTCAATCAGGCTATTTCAGATTAATCATCTTCTTTGTTCCATTTTTTCTTAAGTAGTGGAATTCATAATGTGATAGGGAGTAAATAATTCTATTTCTTGTACTTCTTTACACTGCTTGCTTTATTTCTGTTATTCAATCTTTCACTTTGGTTTCAGGAGCCAAAGGAGAAATGGGAGTCATGGGAACTCCTGGACTGCCAGGAACTCCTGGACCAGTTGGAGATCGAGGGTTGCCTGGTGAAAAAGGTAAGAGAAAGATTTTCCCCAAATCAAAACTGTAAAATCTGCCTTTTTCCTGGCAGAAGACAACTCTGGAAATAATTGAATACTAGGAGTGTGTTTGGCCTAAGGAGTGTTTTTTGTCAAGTAACTTCCCTGTAAGTTAGAGATAGTGTAATTTAGAAAGCTATATCCTAGGCACAGTCATGTATTTGGGCACTGAGCCAGGATTTTTGATCTGTTCGTCAACAACATAAGGCTTTGCTAGATGTGAAGATGCTACAAATACTACTTCAAGAAAAATACTGTGTTTGAAATTATAAAAAGCCATTGGGGAGGTCTTAATTATATCCTTCAAGTAATGCCCTCTATTACTGCCAAACTCCTATCCCTGTTGTTTTTAGAGTCTAAAATTAATGGCTGTGAAGTAAGAAAAATATGTCAACTTTTTTGACAAAGCTATTGTGAAGTCCTGGTATAAAAAAGCTTCATATGAGGTAGATGAGATGTTCCAGAGCATGGTATTCTATGCTCAAAATTTGAATAAATAGTTAATTTCATTTGTTGTTGTCCACTAAATATTTTTGCAAAGTTTTATGTGCCACTATAATATTCTTTGCTATCCTTTTATAGGTAGCCAAGGTTTCAAAGGTGTAGTTGGACCACAGGGTGATCCTGGTGTCAAAGGAGATAAAGGTGAAGCCGGTCTCCCAGGAAAACCTGGAACAATGGACACCATGGACATGGTTAGTCTCAAAGGCCAAAAGGGAGATCAAGGAGAAAAAGGTAACTTTAGTCTCTAATGGATAAGTGTAATTAACACTCATATACTGTTAGGCAGTAATGCTTTGAGTTCAGTTTTATCTCAGTTTTTGACACCAGTTTTTAAAATAAGGCCAAAGAATTTCACACCGCAAATGCAGACATTTTTCTGGTATCTTTCAACTCCATAGAAACAAAGATTAATCACAGACAGAATGGGTTTTGGTTGGATGGAAGAGATTCAATTTGGCCTTATAAAATCCATCTTACCTCTTTTATCAGAAGATTCTCTCAGAAGAAAATAAATTTTTAAAGTAGAAACTTGATCTTGCCAGAAGAGAAAAGCTACCTTACATGTAAAACATGTATTGGAAACGTTGTGGCCATGAAGACCAACTGATACTGGAAGAAAAAGTGGGCAGCCTTTTTAGGTACACATTTCTTTGGGAAGAAATTTCAAGCAAGACACATGTGTATGCCACTGATATCAAAAGATCGACTTATGTCAGTTTAGAAACACCAGCAAATATGCAATAGAAAGGCAGTCAGCTTTCTATTTAGAAACTTAATGGTAGTAGAGATATTAGTTTTTCTTAAACAGTGCATTCTTCTTGGATTTTTATTTTTACTGCTACACAAAAATGTAGTTGTTAAAGATCAGTCTTTCCCAGTTTTCTTTTCAAAGAAAAAATAGTGTGTATTTTATACATTTTTATTATTTGTCCTTTTTTAAATTATGATTTATTTTTTATTTAAAAATTCCACAAGAGATTTTAATTACATGGTAACTGTTTTAGTTAAAAGAGAAATGTAGAAGGGAGCCACTAAGATCACATACTCTTCCATTTCCCTCAACCAAAACCTTCAGCCTTTCATTGTATATCATGTTTTCTGAAATAATTGTTTCTTGTTACCCTTTCTGACTTCTCCCCATTTTGGCTGCATCTTTGTTAGAATGCACTTTGAGAAAACAAGTGAAGTACTTCAACTCAGGCCCTGCTAGAATGAAATTTCCGTTTCTTGAAACAACAGCTGACTCAGTTTGTGATTAGCTATAATCCTTAGTCCTTTACTTCTGGGCTGCTGCCTATGCAATTTTTCATTTTGTTTTTCATTTTGTATGCATGCTTTTGACTTCTCCTTACCATATATGTCATGTATTACACTTCTTGATTTTCATTATGTTGATTTTCAAACTTTACTCCCAACTCCTCAAAATCCTTCTGCAATCTAATCCTGTCCTCTTTTCAAGCCTTTCCAGTTTAGTGTCATCTACACATTTCTTCAGTGTATTCTTTGTTGGGCCCAGGACAGAGCAATTGAGATTCCTTTCCAGTTTGGCAGTGGATCACCAGTAACTATACTATGTTATATCTGAACTGTGGGAACAGGAATGTTTCCCAGTGTAGGAACCTCTTATCTCCACATCCTGAGTACTTGTCAGACTGAGACCTGGGCTCCTGTGTCCCAGTTGGGTCTCAGAGGAACCTGGGCATGTGGATAGGCAGTGCCTCCCAGCTTGGACAGCCAGGGACTGCAAGGGAGGACAGGAGCAACTATGGAGTGCATCTGCCACTAAGCTGAGATGCAGCTTCTGAGAGCACTTTTGTATTTGATGAGGCTCCCAGTCTATAAAGATTTCATCCAGTTTAATTCTTCTCATCTGTTTCTGATCTTCATATATACGGTGTCATGAAAAGCCTTAACACAAATCCACATAGGTTATCTTTCATTGCTTGCTTACCTACTATTGGCCTGTAGGTTGACTGATTGATAATTAGTTTTATTGCCTTTCCAGAAATCCGAATTAGGCACACTGGTTACATGCATAGAAAGAAGCCTCTGCTGAGAAATTCAAACAGTTAATTTATTTGGTCTCTAACTTCTTCATCTCTCCAGCACCAATAATGCAAACTTGCAAACTTGAATGCTCTACCTTTTCTTGACCATACACTGTCTACAGATTGGCCTGGCTCAAACAGCCTGGAAGGGTAGGTTCCAAAGAGACCCCAGCCTGCAAATTTCTGCTGTTACTCTGCCCATCTCATCCTATTCAACCCAAAAATACTTAGTCCCAACAGAGAAAAAAAAACTAGTTACAGTCCATAACTTTGCTGATCTATTAGCTGCCTTCATCTCTCTAGGCATGAATATCACAGTAGTGCTTTTTAAAGCTTCTAAAATACAAACTGTGCAGAAAAGACTCAGAAAAGTCACATGGAAAAGATGAAATGTAATGGGTACAAATTACTCCTGGGGAGAATCTCTTCGGACACAAGAAGAAAAGTTCCAGCTGATGAGAACCATTAGCCACTGCAATAATCTCCCCAGGGAAATGATGAGTGCCCCAGCTTTGGACACTTTTAAGATTCATCTGGATAGGATTCAGGGCCATCTTGTCTAGTCCATGTTTCCACCAAGAAAGGTTGGACCAGATGATCCTTGAGGTCCCTTCCAACCTGGTATTCTATGGTTCTGTGATTTTTATAGAAGATTGTCAGTGATGGTTAATGCAAAAATTTAGTTTTGGACATTTTGGGATGTTTTTAATGAAATCGGCTTTTAATGAAATCACCTATATGCAACACTAACAGAAAGAGACCAAAAAGCTTGGTCCTTAAAGCTGGAGAAGCATACCACAGAATAAGAGCTGGACCCTTCTGGAATTATGAAGTTTTAACATTAGATAGAACTGAAGAAGCAGCAAATTTCTGGCTGTGAACTGGTTATTCACATGTACCTTTTTAGACAGCAGAACAATCAAATCAGTCATTTCTGTTAACACCTGCTGTTGTCTGGCACTTCTGAAGTAACTCAAACACATGTTTGTTTGCAATTTCTTTTAAATATATAAGTACGTAGAATCATGGAATCGTGCTTTAGGTTTGAAGGGAACTTAAAGATTATCTAGTTCCAGTCCCCCTGCCACGGGCAGGGACACATTCCACCAGACCAGGTTGCTCAAAGCCCCGTCCAACCTGGCCTTGAACCCTTCCAGGGAGGGGGCAGCCACTTCTCTGGGCAATCTGTTCCAGTGCCTCACCACTCTCACAGTATAGAATTTCTTCCATCTATCTGATCTCAGTCTACCCTCTTTCAGTTTAAAGCCATTAACCTTTGTCGTGTCATGACACTCTATGACAAAAAGTCCCTCCCCATCTTTTCTGGGGGACCCCTTTAAGCACTGGCAGGCCGCTATAAGGTCTACCTGGAGCCTTCACTTCTCTAGGCTGAACAACCCCAGCTCTCTCATCCTGTCCTCATAAGGAAGGTGCTCCAGTCCCCCTGATCATCTTTGTGGCCTCCTCTGGACCACCAATCACCTCCTTATTTTCCATGTGCCCTAGCACAGTTTTCAGGAGGATCTGCTACATGATCTTGGCAGGCACAGAGGTGAGACTGACCGGCCTGTAGTTCCCCAGGTCTTCCTTTTTTCCCTTTTTAAAAATGGGGGTTATGTTTCCCTTTTTTCCAGCCAGTGGGAACTTCACTGGTCTGCCATGATTTCTCAAATCAAGTGGATAGTGGCTTAGCCACTTCATCCGCTAGTTCCCTCAGGACCCCTGGAGATGCATCTCTCCAGGTCCCATGGACTTGTGCACCCTCAGGTTCCTTAGATGGTCTCGAACCTGATCTTCTCCTACAGTGAGTGGTTCTTCATTCTCCCAGTCCCTGCCTTTGCCTCAGCAACTTGGGCAGTGTGGCTGGAGCACCTGCTAGTGAAGGCTGAGGCAAACCAGTCCTTGAGTACCTCAAGGTACTACCTTAAGTAGCCTTCTCCATATGCTGGGTAACCAGGCCTGCTGTTTCTTTCCAGAGAGGGCCCACATTTTCCCTAGTCTTCCTTTTGTCACTCATGTACCTGTAGAAGCTTTTCTTGTTGCTCTTGACATCCCTGGCCAGGTTTAATTCTATCAGGGTTTTTGTCTTCCTAACCTGATCCCTGGCTGCTCACACAATTTCTCTCTATTCCTCCCAGGTTATCTCTCCTTGCTTCCACTCTCTGTAGGCTTCCTTTTTGTGTTTGAGCTTGTCCAGAAACTCCTTGTTCATCCATGCAGGCCTCCTCGTGTTTTTGCCTGACTTCTTTTTTGTTGGGATGCATTGCTCCTGAGCCTGGAGGAGGTGATCCTTGAATATTAACCAACTTTCTTCAGCCCCTCTTCCCTCCAGGTCTTTATCCCATGATACTTGCCTTGTAATTTGCAGAGACCTGTAAAATTGTAATAGTTTGCAGCCTTTCCTCAGCACTGGTGTAGTGACTGGAGAGTTGTGTTTTACTCAGGTGTGACTTTACTGTACAATGTATGAAGCTGGAATTCATCCATTTCCTTGTTCAACAGAAAGAACCAACAGCGATCAGAAATCAACTAGAAGGATTATTATATGGCATTACAACAAATTTTGATAAAACTGATCTCACTGTGTCTGTTTTCTTGGTGTTCAGGGGACCACGGAGCAACAGGAGAAAAAGGGTTACGTGGGGAATATGGAGACCCAGGAATTCCTGGGAAGGATGGTGAACCTGGTACTCCAGGACATCCAGGTATGTCTGAAGCTAGCAGCAGAGAGACTGTTCATCAGGTATTTTAAACCTCATTAACTAATGGGACTCTTAATTTCTCTGCTGTCCATAGGACCAAAAGGTGATCAGGGCCCCCCAGGATACCCAGGGGATCCAGGAATTCCAGGACAAAAAGGATCCGTTGGTGAAATGGGTTTGCCAGGTACTGATTGCTGGGAATTTCTTATTATTGTTTTCCTCAAGTTAATATAGAGCATTATGAAAGGCCTGTATGGAATATTTGTTAGTATAGATCTACATAATGGTTGCACTATTTGCAGTGTCTGAACTTCAGGCTTTTGGAACATTGCTTTCTCAATCCTATTGTGCTATACAAATAATAGGATGGTTTCCTAAGTTTCTACATGTGAATCCTTTAGCTGGATGTGTAGGATTTGTGTATTTGTTGCAGGCAGGCAGTTTTTCAAGTGATACCTGTTTGTCTGTCTGTCTCTCTTTGTTAGTGTATGAACTGCATTAAGTTTCTTATGTACTTATCACCTTCTAAAAAGTTTGGTGAGTTGCTGTGTGCTGCATGTTAATTACAGACTCTAGTGGTCTGGGAAGAACGTTGTGGAGGGGATTGGTAAAGAATAGAATGGAGAAGAACTTATATCTCAGCATGGAAACTTTGTCTCCATTCAGATGGCCTTGTGCCTAGCGTATTTAGGAAATCAAAGCTAAAAGACTGAAATGATGAATGGGGACAGAAAAATTTGGTACATCAGAGTCACTGTGGTCCTGATAGAAATTATTCAAATTAACATAAACTTTTATTCAAATAATATTTTTAGCAAGAGCTCTGTTTACTCTGAATCCAAAATTATAACCTTCTCTTATGAGGAGAGCTTAGCTTCCAATAAAACCTGACATTTAGAGAGTGAATCTCAAAAGTTAATTTACTAGCTATTTTAGTGAGTTACACTGCTTTTCTAGCTCTGAATAGCTAAGGCAACACTGAAAAATTTATTATCAACACTGTTAGGGTACCAGTAGTTCCAATACACTAATTTTTCCTTTTCTCTTACTAGGAACACCTGGAGAAAAAGGTCTGCCGGGAGTACCAGGTTCACCAGGCACACCAGGGTTCCCTGGGCAGAAAGGTGAAAAAGGAGACAAAGGAGCACCAGGTTTTCCTGGAATTGGCTTTCCAGGGTCTCCTGGTGAGAAGGTATTTACACCCCTAAGGATTTAATTGTCTGTCTCTACCAAGTATCTCATTTGAAAAGATGCTGTTGGTCTTTAAGTTATTTTATTATATTTTCTATTATGCTCATTTAAATACCTAATAAGAAACTTGAAAGATGTGCATATGCATCAGTTTAGATGTGTTCTATTTGATGGGACCATTACCTCTAGGGTTCTTATATATTCTGTCTCTTCAGAATAGGGTAATTTACCATTCAAGAAATATGAGGGAGGGGAATAACTTTAAAAAATACTAAGTAAATAAAGTGAAAAGGGCTTCTTACAAACAGAGCAAATAATCACACTGAAATAGTGTTTCTGTACTTTTACAGAGATATTGGGAAGCTGAAAAAAACTATAAAATGCTCAGATATTACTGAAGAGAGAACTGTATTAATACTGTCTGTAAAGTTAATTCAGTCTCTAATGGTATTCTAATAGGATTCTCATTTGTTTCACATTCCTTTGCCTAGCTATGCAATGACAGTAATCATGAATTTATAAGTAAAAATTGTAAAAATAAAACTTACTAATCTGGTAGCAAAATTGCTGAAGACATAAAAAAAAAAGATATTTTTGAAGATGATTAAGTGCAGTAAGTAAGTTAAGAGGCTAATTTGGAAAAGACTTTGTAAAAATCATCATAAAAATGCATAGAAAACTACTCATTTTCATATGTAGGTATTAAGCAATTGCTATGAAAGTCAGTAATTCTGATAGTGGAATTTAATGCCAAATTTAATCCTAAATTACTGTGTTTCTAAATGGAAGAAGAACGACATTCTTTATAAGTCTGATGGATAAGAGCAGTGACATCTACCATTGCAAACAGAAAAAGCTGTTTCAGAATTAATGTGTGGATTTTATAATATGTGCTGCTTCTTCTAGGGAGAACCAGGAAGAACGGGTAGTCCAGGAATATCTGGAGATAAGGGTGAAAAGGGTAGTGCAGGAATTCCTGGAATGCCGGGTTCCCCAGGTCCCAAAGGATCCCCTGGCATGGCAGGATTTCCAGGCAAGTGTTTATGCTTTAATGAAACAGAAATTGCAGTGAAAAATTAATGTGAAGCTTATCCCAAATATCCCACCTGTAAACCCATGTCTTCTTCCTTTCTTTAGGGAGCCCCGGCCGCCATGGAGAAAAGGGTGAAAAAGGACTTCCTGGCTTAAGTGGCATTCCAGGTTTAAAAGGAGAGCAAGGTAGAAAAGAAATATAAACTACCAAATGCTATTGTGCACCTCCAGGCCGTGGCTAAAACAAATACTGTGGCATTCTGAATTGGTTTTGGCTTAGATATTTCCTGGTGCATTTGTTCATTTCATAAGCAAAAAAAGACAGTGCTGTTTCTCAGGTAAATCTGAGTCAGTGTAGTGTGGGGCTAGTACTTCTTTTGCACTGTTTTGGGGAGAGATTTTACTACCTTCCACAAGACTGGTTGTTGCTGTAGCCATTAGTTCTGTTGTTTCTGAGTTCATTTAAAAATAATAAAGTGATCCATGGGCCCAAACCTGAATGACCACACTAGCATCATTATTCAGATTTTAAAGAGGAAACAAAGTAGGGAAGAGAGTATGTCCATTGCTGTTATGAGTATAATAACATTTTTGAGCTTGGAGCCTTGTGTTCTTAGTTTGCTGGCTGCAGGATACATCATCTTATTGGACAATGGGCTGTGCTATTCACAAGTCTTTGCTGGAGTTCCTGCACTCTAAACTCACTGAGATTCATTATAATTATCTGTGTCAAAATCTGTAGTATCTGAGCCCTGTCTCACACTGATTTAATTCAGAAGTAACCTCAGAGAAGTCACACTGAAGTCATCATGCAGTATCTGCTTAGTCTCTGTGGGAGCAAAGGTATAAGTAAGCTTTTCTGTAGAGGAAAAGAAGTGTAAAAAAAGTCTGATGATTCATAGGTGAAATGAAACTGGCAATGATTTTTCAGGTGAACCTGGTGTTCCGGGTCCTGCTGGTTCTATTGGACAGAAGGGTGAACCAGGTTATGATGGGATCCCAGGTGCAGCTGGTGCAAAGGGTGAACAAGGTACTGTGACTGTCATGTTAAGCTTATGGGGTATGAAAATGCACAGAGACAGGCTACACAGGAGTAGCTGGTAAGGGGGTGTGCTGGGTTTGAGGTACTTTGTATGGACCCTTAGAAAACGTAGTATGGTGTCTTACAAACTACTGACTGTCATCCATCATTGCAAAGCTGATCACTCATATGAGCAACTGCGTTTAATCAGTGTAATCTTGAAAGAATTTATTTCACAAAAGCTGGCAATACTTTAAAGAATTGGTGTGTTTTGGAATTAATTTCAGTCTGCAACTTAGCTGTGAAATAACGGAGCAGGCTTGCCTTTTCTTAGGGTAGGGTTTTCAGTCATAAAGGACCCATTGTGCTAGATACAATACCAGTACATAACAAAGACATTCTCTGCCCTGAAGAACTTTTGCATAAACCATTTATTTATATGTTATATTTGTTTAATCGAGTTTTGTTCATTACAGGTTAAATTTAAGTACTGTCCCATCTTCTAATCTTTTGCTGCCCCTGTATTACAGGTGTTCCAGGCAGAGGACTTCCAGGATTTCCTGGTGCAAAGGGAGATAAAGGTAAAACACTTCTTTAAACAAGCAGCAAACCTCCCTCCCAGCATACTATAAAAGTGATTCTGCAATTCAGCATATTTTCTACTTCATTCTTTTACATGCTATACCTTTTCAGAGCAGGCAGAAACTCTGAGAGGCTCAAATACTAATTTCTGTTACAGTGGCAGCATCTTGGACATGAGTTAGATGTGCCCTAAAATAGGTAATTATTCATAGTGTGGAATTTACTGCAAGCTGTGCTGTGCTGAGGTAATATAAATAACTCCCATATTTCTATGCTGTGGTTTTGACTCTGAGTATTTCTACATTTCCTACTAATTTTGCAAGAATCAAAGTCTAGTGGGGCTCTGTGCACCAGACAGCTAAAGATAGTAGTGTTGTGGCCAAGATACCACAGTAATTTTTTTACCTGAGTCTGTTGTGCAGCCTAGATGCAATTTTATTCATTGCTAAAATAGTTATTCTCTGTAGCTCAGTAGGGCATGTCTTAAGCTATGCATAGGAGCATGGTGCAGAGATGTAAAAGATAACAGAGACCTGATGAGACCTTACTGAAAACTATTATTACCTGGACTCAAGACTTACTAGCTTGGGTGCAGACACATAGCTATCACAATTCCAAAACCACTTGTAGCCTTCACAAAGTGTGTGACTACACTGTTATGTGAGAATGGCTTGACTGGCTTGAGTCAGTGCTTGCTCAAGGTGTCTGTAATGCACCATGCCCCATTTTATGAAATATGTATGTACTAGACACTAGACTGCAATAGATGCAGCAGTGAAGAAATATCAAACTGCTGCTGGTAAAGTAAATTGTGTACAATTAAAAGATTTTCAATTTTAAACATCCAGAAATTTAAAAGGATTCAACTACTCTGTCTTATGAAATTAACATGGCATAGCAGGTTTTGAAGAATTTACATAGCTTGAAATAATCAATACCCTACCTCATTCATTCATTCATTAATTCTATAAATACAGGTCCATCTATAAATACAGGACATTCTATAAATAAAGGACAATCAGAAGTGATAAACCAGAATTTTAGAATTTAGAATTTCTTTACCATCTCAGAGTAATTAACAGTCATTAATTGCTGAGAAAGCCCTAATGTTAGAGAACTTATTTTAATAGATTTTGAAATCATAGCTCAGGAAGGCATGTAGAATGTTAGATTATGAGGGCACTTTTTTCACCTTCCCCATCTCTCATTTTGTCAACACAGATCATTTAAAAATATCTGGTTTTAGAGTAAATAGATATCCAACTGACATAATTTGTGTTCCAAATGTATTGTAGTTCCAGAGAAGCAAGTCCAGGATTTAAAGACCCTGTTCTGTTTAGGCAAAGAGCCAGGGATAGTGTTCTTCATACATTTTATTTCTCTTATTGTACTTATACCAGCTAATCTGTATTCTTTTTGCTCAATCATGATCTAAAATTTGACTGAATTGCAAATGTTAACTATTTGTACAAGCCTTGAAGTAAGTACTAAATGTCTAAATCTAGATATTAGTAAAAAAAAATATTCCCTTTTTCTGAAGGAGCGAGTCCTTTTGTGCTTAGTCAAGCAAAATATCCATTACTTATCTATGACAATAATAATTGTAATGGAGTAAGGGTTTGGGGGCTTTATATTCCTCATGAAAAGACTGATGGATACTGAATGTTCATCTATTTTTAGAGTGAATTAAAATAGTCCAGTGATCAGTTTAGCTAAGAAAAGATATGTCAGTCAAACTACTAATTTCCTCATACTTTATGTCAGAACGTGGAGAATAATACAGTTTTCCTAAAGTTTTGCATTTTTATACAAATGTATAAAGGCAAGGTCAATATTTTTTTAAGGAATAAAGCTTACTATGAGTGGATAATAAAGCAGAAGCTTTCAGTGATTGTGTCCCTTTCTCTAATCATGTTTTGGGGATTGTTTCAACTCTTAGGTGCGAAAGGTGAAGTGGGTTTTCCAGGATCCCCAGGAAGTCCGGGGATCCCAGGCCTGAAAGGAGAACCAGGATTTGATGGTCCACCAGGCCCTAAGGGCAGCCAGGGTCTTCCTGGACTCCCAGGAAGTGCAATTGAGGGCCCTAAAGGAGACAGAGGACCCCAAGGCCAACCTGGCCTTCCAGGTAATTCTTTATCTTTAGTATTAACGTACTGATTTTAATCAAAGCTCACCTAATTAATTAGTAATATAATCAATATTGCATATCCTTCTTCTCACAGATCAGAGAAAAGCTCCCCTTCGTAGACAGTTTGACACTGTGTCCTAGAACAGGCTGATTTGATGTCCTCAGGCAGTTGGTTTTGTCCAGATGTCTTTCTGACACTGAGAAGTTTCTCTCTGAACTTTATTTACTGTTTTGAGGCAGCCATGGCTGTATGTTCCTATGTCCTGAAGTGTTAATGTGTTTAAAAATGGCCCAGCATGGCCTTACCTTGGCAGTAGCCCTGTGGTAGGGATTAAGGAGGAGAGTAGAGCAGAACTGCAATATGTCTCTAGCGTGTTCATACCTGAGAACATACCATCTGTTTGTTCTGCACATACAGAAAAGTCTCCACTATTCTCCATCAGCCATAGGCTGATAAATGGTAGGTGTCCAGTCAGACAGTGAGTCATACAGACCTCCCTGCAACATATTCTCCTACTTATTTTCTTGAAATGTTGTTACGATAATTAATTTGGTTCTCCCATTCTGTGGGGAGCCAGCTCGTCCTCTATCAGGTAGTGCTCTGAACAGATGTTGCCACTAAATACTCTCTTCTTCTGATTTGTAGGTTTACCTGGTCCAACAGGGCCACCAGGACCCCCAGGTCTGAAAGGGGCCAAAGGAGACCAAGGGAGCAATGGCTGGCCTGGGACTCCTGGAAGTCCAGGAGTCAAAGGTGATCCAGGTTTCCAGGGTCTACCAGTAAGTTGTTTTTGGTACATTCCAGATTTGCTGAAAGCTGGTTCTTGTAATTAATGGATATATTAATCATAGATATTTCTCGTTCAAAATAATGATACTTTATGCTTAAAGTGCCTTTGGACTCACTGCTGACGATGTGAAGTCAGCCTGAAAACATTTCAATTCTGTCCTTTTAAAGGCTGCCCACGAATAAGCACCAGTGAGCTAATGAACTTATTAGAAATTTATAGATAGTGAATGGTAACATACAACACCCAGAATATAATTTACAGTGTATTAACAGTACAGGATGGCTAAAGCACATCCATAAATCCTGCAAATGCATTAGTAGTTAATTTTAAAGGTTGCATATTTCACGATAAATTGCCTTCTGAAAATACCTGAACTGTTTGGTTTTGTTATGAAACCTTTCAAATAAAGTGCACTTTCAGTACTGTCAGCAATGAAATACAGCTACTGATTTAGAAATACAAACAGGCATATATTATTCATTTTCCTTGAACTAGAACAGTCCCTTTTCTCTCTATATTAGGGAGAATGGAGTAGGACAGTCACCAAGAATAGTTGGGTTTCTATACTCTTTCTCTCAGAGAGAGAGTGCTGCCTTTTTCTACATTGAAAAATACACTCTATATTTTAACTTTTCATTTCCTCTTTCCTACAAAGAAAATAATAATAAAATTTATGGAAGAAGGAATAAGAAGTAGATAGGTATGACTCAACAGTTGCTAGTGTACAGAAGGCAGGAAGACTTGGGAATAAGTTCCTAATATGAAAAGCAAGATAGTTATAGTGGACTTAAAAGATCCACATTATTCTTGATAATGCAAAGATCTACTGCATCCTTTTCTGCATCCAGGAGTCACTTTACAGAGACATGAACAATTTGCTTCAGTGTTCTGACACTGGAACTTGGCTATGTCTTTTTATCTTTGAGAGCATATCATATAATCTCATCTCATCTCATGTCATATCATATCATAACATATCATATCATATTTCATATTAGCTTTGAAGGTAGTAAATTTTAAAATAACATTCCAGTATATTTTTCCCTAATCTAAGAATTTGCAGTGCTTCTGCAGAGATCTAAATTTCTATACCACAGGAAATTCTAAAGCTTTTCACAGGTTGATATTCAAGTTCAAGACTGTCTGTTTTTTAAGAATGAGAAATACCGAAGGATTTTGATTCCATGTCTTCAGTCAGAAGAAAATGTTTTACTATCCTTGAGCCACAGTGCTTAGTGTTGGGTTGTTAACTCTGTGAAATGCTCCAGTGAGTTTTTTCAATATTAAACTTCCTCTGGTGATACATACTAAGATGGGTTTCTAATGTCTTCATCCTCTCCAGTGTGACAGGCATTTGCCTTGATTACAGCTCAGTTGCTCATACAGGTGTCCAGGTACACAGTAACCTATATCAGAAAGGAGATTTTGTTATAGCATGGGTGTCAAAGGCTGTCCAAAAATCCTCTCCAAAAAAAGTGAGTGAGGAGATCAGACCATGAAATACAAGTCCCATGGATGTCTCTGTACATTTTAACATTGAAATGGGAAAATAAACATTTTCATCATTTTCATGAACTGGAATAGTTTTATTTTATTTGGAACAGACACAAAATAAAATATTGTTTGCCAAGCTATATCTCATGAAAAAAAAAATTGACGAAACTGCATAGTGTTGTGGAAAAAGTATTTTGATAGAAAACTTTCAATAAACTCCTGTTATAAATCATTCCATCTTATAATAATAACCTAAAAAATTATTTTAAAAAACATTTTTAATGAGATTGTCTGACTCATGACTGTCTTCTGAGTGACTGTTGGCCCTGTTGTTTTGTGCTACAGAAGTTCATGTTACAATACAAAGAAAGGGCCATTTCTTGAAAACAGTCTTGCGTACTGTGACTATGTAACTGAAGGAAACCAGGGAACCTTACTTCATTAATATCTCCCTTAGCACTCCAAGGGTACCATTTTTCTTTGTGCAACTTTGGAAATCTCACTGTTGACATCCATTTTTGAGCTAGTCATACCTTCTTCCTTTATAGTCAGTGGAAAGAATTAGACTTTTGTAGAGAGCCATTCTTCTCACCTTAATACAAATATCTAACTTACATCAAATGAGAAATCACTCCTGTGTGTGTCTGTTCTATTGCTCTCCAAATATGATGAGATGAATCCTACCATTGGTATTATTTTTCACTGAGTGCTCTATTCACATCTCCAACCTCTGATCGGTAAGTTACTTAGCAAAGGGATTTTTTCTTTCCTCTTCCTGTCTTCCACATTTTATTATATAGGGAACTATCACTGCCATATTGCTTCAGACTTGTGTTAGGAATTAGCCAGGGAGAAACTCTAAACTATACTTACAAGCTTTTTGCAGATGATCTGCAACAGACAATGAAGAAAAGGAAATTAGCAGTCATTTAAATGACTATTTACAGTGTCTTTGAAATCTGAGCTTGATTTTCCCTGCAGTGAGGCTACAATGAACTTGTTACCATGAATTTCAGAGGAGCAGTTTATAATAGTGAAGGCAGAAGGAGGAGTTCGCATTGTGTTTGAAGTGTTTAAGTGCTTGAGTATTTTAGCCCTGTTGAAAAGTAAAAATCTTCAGAGGATTATAAATTGTTGAGCACATTTAATTTCATTCCACATGTGAATGTAGAAGTTTTCAAGTCTGTAGCCTAGAATTACCACATTTAATTATCTAACTAGCAACCATCTCTGGGGCTGCACTGAAATTAGTGTTTGCTGATATTTGTGCTTATGGATGTTTCTTATAACAATATTGTCTATGGTTGAGAACCTTTTCATTAGCTACACTGTTAGTGAGACCTTATTGTGATCTAGTATCTTTGTAAGGCAAAAAACAGTGTAGTAAGAACAAGGCATCACATTATTCCTTTAAGAGAGCTTCTCATCTAGTCATGGTAGAGAACAACCAATCTTAAACTTAATGGCTTTTCTCTCATATTATTTTTTTTGTAGGTTTCCAAAAATACACAGCCTATTGGAGAGTCATATCATAATAGTGTAGGATAATTATACTTCACACTTTCTCTTATACAGGGTAGTCCTGGTTTACCAGGAGATACTGGTCAAAAGGGTGATCTGGGACCTCCAGGAGTTCCAGGTGTTCCAGGTGAGAAGAAAATATACCATATTACTAAAAAGTATGCAAATATATCTCTTTCATACCCTTTCTCTCTCAAAAAAGATGCTCAAAGGATGTTGGCTCTGTATTACAAGTTATTGGAACAGAATATTGAAAACTGCATCAAAAAGCATACAAGAAATGGAGGTTTTTCTCAAGGATTTTTACGTTTTGCCTGTTGTCTTGCTTTGCCAATTTTAAGTGCACACTTGCTTTAAAAGGTGGATATTAAATCAATTGTTTAGACGTTACCAGTCAAGAATCTTCAAGATTTTCTTGAGAATTGAAGAGGCAAATGCTATAGCTATATTTGAGGAAACATGGGCTCAGTATGTCTCCGTCGTTGGCTAAATTGCTGCTACTGTCACCATTGTATACATAAAAACACTGTGTGTATAAAAAATGTAGTTATTAATACAAAAAAATAATTCTTACAATTTAGAGAAAGGTATTGTTAATTAAAGTAAGAGAAAATTATTTTCATTTGTCATTTCTTTGGTGCCTTAGTGCATTTGTTTGTATCTTGTTCTCACAAACAGTTAAAAAGTACTTGTGTGAATAAAGTCATGGCCTTTACATGATCGTGGGGTCATACATGATTATTCTGCACATATCCTTCCAAATCAAGAAATTACTGAATTTTCATGTAAATATTTCCTTTGACTTCAGGTCCAAAAGGATCTCCTGGCTTCCCAGGCCTTAAGGGTGAGCAAGGTGAACAAGGTCTTCCTGGATCTAAAGGTATTAATACAGACTTGCTTTTTTTCCCAGACATTGTTAAAATGTTTATTTGTGATTAATCAATGGATAACTACCTCCCCCTTTTATTCAGTGTAAGAAGGTAGACTGTGAAACCAGATATCATGGTATCAGCATCTAAATGGTCAGATTATATTTAACTATTGGGTAGAAAGTGAGTTTTATCTCCTACTCTGAAAAATCAATAATGAGGTTTTGTAATTATTAGAATCTTTAAATGGTATCCTAGAACCACAGAATCATAGAATGGTTTGCTTTGCAAGGGACCTTCAAAGATACGTAGTCCAACCCCCCTGCCATGGGCAGGGCCCTCTTCCCCCAGCCCAGGGTGCTCCCAGCCCCGTCCACCCTGGCCTTGAGCCCTTCCAGGGAGGGGGCAGCCACAGCTTCTCTGGGCAACCTGCTCCAGTGTCTCACTGCCTTCATTGTAAAAAAATTTCTTCCTCAAGCACCGTCTAAATCTACCCGCTTTCTGTTTAAAATCGTTGCCCCTTGTCCTGTCACTCCAGACCCTTGTAAAAAGTCTCTCTCCACCTTTCTTATAAATCCCCTTTGTATATCAAAATTATATATTATGCTGCAATAAGGAATCCCTGGAACCTTCTCACTTCTAGTCTGAACAACTCCAACTCACCCAATATTTCTTCATAGAAGAGGTGCTCCAGTTCTCTAATAATTTTCATGACCCTCCTCTGGACACACTCTAACAGGTCCATGTCTTCTTGTACTGGGGGACCCAGAGCTGAACACAGAACTCCAGGTGGGGTCTAATGAGGGCGGAGTAGAGAGGGAGAATGACCTCCCTCGACCTGCTGGCCCCACTTCATTTGATGCTGTCCAGGATACAGCTGGATTTCTGGACTGCAAGTGCACATTGCTGGCTCATGTCTCATATTTCATCTACCTGTATCCTCAAGTACTTCTCTGCAGGGCTGCTATCTATCCATTCATCCCTCAGTCTGCTGATACTGGGGATTGTCCCACCCCATGTGCAGGACCTTGCACTTGGCCTTGTTGAACCTCAGGAGGTTCACATTGGCCCACTTCTCAAGCTCTTCAGGGTCCCTCTGGATGGCATTCCTTCCCTCTAGCATATTGAGTACACACAGCTTGGTGTCATCCACAAACTTGCTGAGGGAGTTCCTTTCAACCTAAAGTCTGGACAGCTATTTCAGTCCTTGGGAGGTCTGTTTGGGTGGAGACATCAGCACAGACACGCTGTAATGCTTCCATTTGGGTTTCAACCACAGCCTTGCAGTTGCAGTGGTAGATACCATTTCCTTTCAGCAGGCCACAGTCTCCTTACAGTTCTTAGAAAAAGAGTCCACTTAAAAAAATATTATTCTGCTGAAAGATGTCATCCTTCTAATTCCCCAGAGACCTCAATGTTCTGGGTGGACATGCACAGCCATCAGTTAGTTGGTGTGGCCATCAGGTGAGCAGAGCAGGCAGCAGCCCAGTAACTGGCATCGTGCAGCTATTCTGAGCAAACTGCCGCGCAAACTGCTCTGTCCTGTCCGGTGGGAAGTAGGAATGTGGGAGGTAGCAAAGTGGTTTTCAGCAGCAGCTACTTAGGTGTTACCTGAGGCTTGTCAGTGGCAGAGACCCAGCCTGAGCTGTTTCCTCCATCATGCCTTGAACCCCCTTGTCTTCTATCCTCAGTCAACTTCAGGTTTGACTTCTTAAAAGGTATAACCCTACCTGATGCACATAAAAAGTCTTGGACACATTGATATCTTGTAGCTATAGGCTCTGTCTATTCTCTGACTACATAAATGGCAATACAAGGTAACATTCTTTTCTTTTTTATTGTGCAACACTAAATATGTGCTGATTTCCTCTGTTAACTTTGGCAGGTTTACAGGGCCCACCAGGCCCACCAGGTGCTTTTCAGCTTGTTAAAGGGGATCCTGGCTTACCTGGCCCTGTAGGACCAGTTGGTCTCAAAGGATTCCCAGGACTTCCAGGTCCCAAAGGACAGCAAGGTGAGAGTTTCTAACTTGCCAGTAGAAATGCATTTTATGTAATGTAAAAATAGACCAATGGTAGGCTAGACACTAGAGTATTTTTGGTATAATACTATCCAGCTTTTTATAAGCCACCTAAATTGCGTCAGCAATGAAGAATAGAGTACTTTTTGAAGCTCATCCAAAGGAGTCCCAGAAACAGATGCCTTCCTAGTGATTTTTTTTCATAGGTTCTCATTCTGCATTCATCACATCAGTATCTGAGATCAGTAAGCAGGACGACTTGTTACACACTGCTCTTCCTTTTCCCAGAGCGTATTTGTTAGGGTATCTTCTGTCTTTAGTGCTGAATCCAAACTTAATTACTGTGTGTCCCGGGGAGAAAGCAAGAGTAAGGAAAACCACCTTGATCTTGGAGTGGAAAGTGCTTCCTGAGGAAGCTTGTTCCATAATCCTAGATTTTGTCTTAGTCCAGACATTGCAATTTTTGTAAAGAAAAGGCGAAAAGCAAAGATTAAACACATTAGAGAATAACAGAACGGAGAAAAGGGTAAGACAAATGATATGCTGGCACAAGGAAACATGTCCTTCATAATGACAGGACATGGAGAGTGGGAGCTCAGAGGTCTTCTCTAAACTATTAAGATTCTAAGGAAAAGTTTTGTTCCTGATCGTTTTGTGGTGGAGTTTATGGAGTGTTTCATGGGGGGGAGAGGATGGGGAATTATGGTGGAATATAACCACAGAATCATAGAACAGTTTGAGTTAGAAGGGACCTTAAAGACCACCTAGTTCCAACCCCCCTGCCCCGGGCAGGGCCCCCTTCCCCCAGCCCAGGGGGCTCCCAGCCCCGTCCAACCTGGCCTGGAACCCTTCCAGGGAGGGGGCAGCCACAGCTGCTCTGGGCACCCTGGGCCAGTGTCTCACCACCCTCATAATGAGCATCCTCTTTCTATTTAATATAATAGACATATGGAAGTTTGCTCTTGAAGGTGAGGTTACAACTCTGCGACTGCTGTCTGCTAGGAAATCGCTATGAAATAATCTCAGCAATTGAACATAGCACGGGTTTGCTTCTGTGGGATCTGTTGCTGTTCTCTAGTAGTCAGTTCAATACATGAACACAATATTGCTTTTTGGGTGATTGGGAAAAGGACAACTGTGACTATCTAAAGCTTCTGAAGTACCACAGAAAAGTTGGTATGGTGCTGATGGTGTTAATTTCTTTTTCCCAAAGTCAGAATTACTGAGTTTATGTAGGACTCAAAGCATCCATAAAAAATCAATAAAGGGAAGACATATGTCTGAAAACCTGTTTGGGAAATAGCTAAGAGAATACTGATTTTCCCACTCTTCATGACCCTACTTTTTTTGTGGTCTATTTTTGATCAAGTCATATGATAAGCAGAGAGGGAAGAGATCCCTGCCCTTCCTTTTCATATTCCAGGTGAATACTAGTTATTTTAGAAGCACACTCTCTGCTTAACTCTCCATTCTTCTCTACTATAATCACTTTGCCTGCAGTAACCCACATACGTGCTCTAGATACTGAAATACACACACTGCATCTGCATGAGTTTAGTTTATGCGGAGGTGTGCCTGTGACATACCGTATTAAAAGCCAGAAAGTCAGAACTAATATGAAGTTAGTTTCAGTATTAACTATTCCTTGTTTTTTAACAGGGGTGACAGGACCTTCAGGTATACCTGGACCACCTGGTAGTCCAGGGTTTGATGGCAAACCTGGGCAAAAAGGAGAAGTTGGTCCTTATGGACCCCCAGGTGAGTTCTTTAAAAACTTGATTCCCTCATAGAAAAATAACATAGGAGATTAAGTGTGAATGTTTCTAATTTCACTACTTTAGTTATGTAGGCAGAGTACTGCTGTCTGTAGAGATAAAAGGAGACTCTGTATTGTAGGGCCCAGAGGATTCCCTGGTCCACCTGGCCCTGAAGGCTTGCCTGGGACTATGGGCCCACCAGGTGCACCATCTGTTGCTCATGGCTTCCTTGTTACCAGACATAGTCAAACCACTGAAGAACCATCATGTCCATTTGGAACAAGGCTGATTTACCATGGCTACTCCTTGCTTTATGTACAAGGCAATGAAAGAGCACATGGCCAAGATCTGGGTAAGTAGAGACCAAATTAGAATTCAATTAGAATTCATTACAAACTGAATGTTTCTCTCATTTGCAGAACTGTATTGACCAAACCTGTGTAATTATTCTTAGCCATCTGGTGCTTTATTATGCCTTCTAGGTTGGTACAAATAATGGTTTGGTGAATAGTGCAAGCAATGTCAGTTTATTTGTGCAAGTTTTTATCAAAGCCTTTTATGTGGTTATCCATGATATCTTTGTAGTCAAATTAATGAGATATGGGCTGGCTAAGTAGATGATAAGGTAAGTGGAAAATTGGTGGGTCCATCAGGCTCAAAGGGATGTGATCAGATATATGAAGTCTGAGTGCTGGTTGCTGATTAGTGACGTCCCTCAGGAATTAGTACTGAGCCAGTACTGCTTCATTAATTTATTGGCAACTTGGGTGATGGGGTAGAGTGCACCCTCAGAAAGCTGGTGGGTAATACCAGATTGGGAGGGACCGTTGATTCCTTAGTGGTCACAGCTGCCTTTCAGAGGGACTGGGCCAAGCTGGAGAAAAGGGCTGCGAAGAACCTCAAGAAGTTCAGTAAAGACAAATGCAGAGGGGTATACCTAGAATGAAATAACCTCATGGAGCAGAACAGACTGGGCACTGGCTGCTATTCCCAGTAGCAGCAGTACAGACTGCTAGAATGCTGCTTTGCAGAAAAGGACCTGGGAGTCCTGGTTAGCAACACTGAGCGTGCGTTAGTGGTGTGCTCTTGCGACAACTGCCCCATTCCTCACTGCCCAACCTACCGGGCTCTACTGGCACAAGGGCAACCAGCAGATTGAGGGAAGTGGTTCTTCCCCTCTATTTAGCAGTTGTGAGACTATATCTGGTATATTGTGCCCAGACTTGGGCCTCCCAGAACAAGGAAAGCATTGATATACCACAGTGAATACAGCAGTTAGCTACTAAGATGGCTAGCGGGGTCTGGACAGTCTGATGGAACTGGGTTTGCTCAGCCTTTACAGAAATTTAAGGGGAGACTTTTAATGCTCTCTGCAGCTGTCTACAGGGAGGGTAGAGAAGATAGAGCCAAAGCCTTCTCAGAGGGGCTCAGTGACAGAAGAAGCAATGGACACAAGTGTGAGATACGTTCTGGTGAAACATAAAAAAAAAACTCTTTTACCATGCTGATGCTCAGACTTTGGAATGAGAACCCAGAGAGGTTGCTGTTTCTCTGTCTTTGGAGATACTCAAAACTCAATTGGCTATGGACCCAAGCAACCTGATCTAACTGGCAGGGGGTTAGGATAGATGACCTCTAGAGGCCTATTCAAACCTCAGTTATTCCATAATTCTACAGGCAAGACTGTGCTACTCCTTTCCTTGCCTTGTTCCTTCCTTAAAGAGCCAAGAGAAATCACTTCCTCTGAGAGAACTGGGCCCTCCAGAGCAAGTGTTGTCTGCTCTTTAGCTGTTCCTGGAAATATTTGTTTGGCAGTTGGTAATGGTTTAACAAAAATGGGTTAACAAGTAACCTTTCATTCAACATTTCAGGCACAGCAGGAAGCTGTCTTCGTAAATTTAGTACCATGCCTTTCCTATTCTGCAATATCAACAATGTATGTAACTTTGCATCAAGGAATGACTATTCCTACTGGCTGTCCACTCCTGAACCTATGCCAATGAGTATGGCTCCTATCACTGGTGATAATATCAGACCATTCATCAGCAGGTATGGTTTCAGTTCTGCTGTGTTTGTAAAATGAAGAAGCCTGTGAAAAGTGCTTGTGGTACTTTATTTTTTTTTCTGTAAAGACTTTTAATCTGTATATTTTTATTTCCTGCCTTTAAATTTAAAGTTTCAGTTCCTTTGATGAAATGTTTCAAAGTGTGCATGCGTTCAGTTTAGACTTTGATCAAAATTAAATCCATTTTTGGGGAAACCCAAACAAGTAGAGTAGTCTATTTTGAGTCTAATTGAAATGAAAAGATTTACTTTGAAATGCTATTTTGCAAAGCCTATAGTGTACTTTGAAGGAGAAAAAGTTTTGAATTTATTCACAGTTCTTGTCCAAAAGACTTCTTTTTTTGACTAGCTGTAGCTAGAAGCTTTTTAGGGCTCAGTTTCCTTTTGTTTGAAAATGGTAGCATTATTTATCATACAGTAGACTGCCAGGCTTCATTGATTGTTTTGGACATAGTGCTTGAGCACGACCATTATTGTCTGAATTAAAGGAAGCATTTACAAAATCAATCATCTGTTTTTTAATAATTCCAGATTCTCAGCCAGCATGTGTGGAACTTATATCAGACATAATTGTTCTGCATCAGTCCAACATGTTGAATTTTTGGTCCATTTTAAATTTTAAGGCCACTAGCAAAAACTACCCTGGTATAATATGCCCAGTCCTAAAAGCAGAGATGTGAGCAAGAGCGTGGTGAACTGTACCACTGTTGTTAGACAAGAATTTGACAAGGGCATCTCCAACTCATAACTTAAATGATAATCATTAGATATAGGAATTACTGTGATTCATATCATTGCTTCTAATCTGTATCAGCTCTGGCTGATCCCTCTTCCTGCCATATAAAGTGAATGGGAGTGGAGATTGTTGTTATTATTTTCTTGGGTTTGTATATACCATCCAAGAGAAAGGACAATTCAAATCATCAGTGGTTTGTAGTCTTGACATCTCGGTATGTTTATAAAAATATTTGGCTCTACTGCAAAGCATTTTATATTTATTTTGCATAATAGAATCCATCTTGTATCTGCAGTTCTACTCTGTACTCTATTTTTGATTTAGTGCTGTAGAAGTTGGTATGACTTGAAAATGAATGGGCAGATTGAGGGCAAGATTCTCAAGACAGACTATAGTTTTTGTTTGTCTTACTTTGTTGGTTGTTCATTGGATGTGAATGGAAGGGGCTTGACTTTCAGAAAAATTCAGATGACCGACCTCTGAAATTCATATTTCTTTTATGCCATCCCTGATTGAGCACCCAAAGCAGCCTTTAACAGTCACTGTTGAAACTCTTGCTCAAGGAGGTACCCACCAACAGTTTGCCTTGTCTTACGCATATAGAGTAGCTTTTGCACCATAAAAATGTATGTGTGTATATATATATATGTGTGTGTGTGTGTGTATGTGCTTTTCTCCTTTTAGCCATAGCAGAGAGATATAATTGTAACACACATTTTTTTAAACCAGCAAGGAATCTGAGAAGACTTTTCTATCAATTTATTTTATTAGCTGAGGCTTTTAAACCAACAGTTTTCCCTGTCCAAAAGTTGAAAAGGTGCAGAAGTGTCACTTGCTGCCTTGGGTCATGGGACTTCTTTTCATGGAAAGCCTTCCACTGAAATACCAGAAATCTCTTGAAGTAAAGCAGAGCTCCAAGTATAGAGGCAGCTTTACATTCTTCTTTTAACTTACTCTTTCACTGATGTGTTTCTTAAAATAACTTTTTTGCTTCTGCACTATAGATGAAGGCAGTAGGTATGAAAGCAGTCTTCACAAGTCAGAAATAGAAGGCTTTGATTCTGCATTCCTTTGCTTCTGTGTATTTTCCAGAATCCAACTTAATCCATTTTGCGCTTGATTCTTTTCACTGCTCTGATAATAGGAATCAGACTGTTTAGTTCTAAGTATCTGTTTTGAATCATTTTGATCATTGCTAACTGCAGTGGCCAGTTTAGGAGTTGTACAAGAAAAATGGATTATATTTACCAAATTCCATATTACCAGCTCCCATATTAAAGTTTCCAGCCCAACTCACATTTTTTATGATTCTCCTGTGAAGACATGACTGGTTATTGGATTATTCAGTAACCTAGCAGTTCTGAGATACAATAAATTTATCTAAAGTAAAAGAACTGGTGCTGCACAGCTTTCTGAAGAGTTCAAGTTCATTGTTCAAGTTACTTTGCTGGAAATCTCTTACTGGAGATAAAGACCACAAATGTAAATAAAAGCCACTCTCAAGGAAAAGGCATGGAGAAGAGTTTGCATTAGATTAGATTAGCAGTGCTTACCTTTGTAAGACATTATCCAGAGAGATGGCTTTCACTCTGGAAGTCACTCAGCCCTATGTTTAGGATGATGAATTGCTGTTACTTGTCTCTGATCACAGTGGACCACTTTTAAGTGATACTGAGTTACAGTGTTTGGTTATTTGCCTCTCACTTCATGACATTGATCACTTTTAGAAACTACAGTACAAATGGGATTAGAAAAAGACAAATACATTTAAACATTCAGATAAGAGGTCTCTTGTTCTTTGCTCATAGGAAAGATAATAGGACTAAGACTTAATAGTTACGCTGTCCCTAAGTAAATGAGAGAAAAAAAAAAAAAAAAAAAAAAAAAGAACCAGTTGATTGTTTTTCTGAATGGAACATTTTTATTTTCCTTTGTTTTTGAAGTTTTCAACATTTTCTAATTCAGGATTCCTTTAAAGAAAGTAACTTCTGAAAAAAAGTAGTATTAATCCTCAAGTGCATGTAGCTCATTCATGTCTTGGTCTTTCTAGATGCTCTGTGTGTGAAGCTCCTGCTATGGTAATAGCCGTTCACAGTCAAACAATTCAAATACCACCATGTCCTGAAGGCTGGAGTTCACTTTGGATTGGTTACTCTTTTGTCATGGTAAGTGCACTGGGGTTGCAACTCAGAGTTGAGAAAAGCATTTGTTTCACGCGTTTGATCTACACTTCTGCTCTGGGAAATTTAATATCTATGTCACTTTAGGTCTTAGGAAGACATTAGACATCTAACCTTTCTGGTGACTTTTAAAAAATTCTGGATAATTACTAAATGAGAATAATGCAATAGCAATTCATTGTTCACTTCTGGGGAAATGCACACAGCTCGCTCTCTTTTTTTGCAGCTCCAACACAGGATCCAAGCGCTGAATAAATGAGGAAATAAGCATAATTTTCCATTGTCCTTATACATCCATGTTGCAGTAGCTTCCTAGAGTGGTGGCATATCAGTGCCTGTGCTCTTCCCATTTTTGATGAATAAGCTTTCAGTTTTCAAATGGCATTTGTGACCTTTTATTCACTTTCTTCAGCTGCATCTATATTAGTAAAAGAAATAGGGCCAAGGAGCGGTCTGAAGGAGCCACTCTCTCATCCTCCACAGTAGTTAGCTGTTAGCATGCTTCCTGTCATGCTCACAGCCCGTGTCAACAGCCTCCCTTCCAGGCAAGGTCTGGGCATGATCTGAGAAGCAGCATGGATCCAGAGCTGTTAGCAGTCGGCAGAGGGGAAAGAGGCCACTGTGATGTGGGGCAGGAATTGGGTTAAGTTATTCAGTTATAAACCATACGAGTCCGTACACCTTCGGGGCCAGAGACCTGGCCCTGGCCTGTTGCTAGCATAGAGATAGCTTGGGTCCTGAGGGATTTCTGTGCATACAGCTGCCCTGAAGTTGATGCTGCTGGTGTGTTGTGCTGCCACTAAGTGGGAAAACCCAGTGCCACCTCTGGAACCCTTCAGCTCCACCTCCTTGCTCCTCCTTGAGCTGAGGGACAAAAGAGCAGACGGGCCCAACAGAGGACAGGGAGAGGCACATGAAGAAATATTTGTGCAAGAGGGTGAATAGGTGTTGTAGCAGAAGAAGTAAAGAGTCCCTCTCTGACCGATGCTTTTGCATTTTTCTAGCACACCAGTGCTGGTGCAGAGGGCTCTGGCCAGGCCCTGGCGTCTCCTGGTTCCTGCCTAGAGGAGTTTCGCAGCGCTCCCTTCATTGAATGCCATGGCCGGGGCACCTGCAATTATTATGCAAATGCTTACAGCTTCTGGCTTGCCACTATAGAGAGGAATGAGATGTTCAAGTAAGTTCATGATTTATTTATCAGTATTTGAGACTCAGTCAAGCCGTGTCACTGAATAAAAGAAGTATTGTTTGAATGTAATACACGGTTCAAATATTGGCTGTGCCTCAGCCTGGTTAGTATACGCAGTTAATGATTTTCGTAATAAAAGGAAAAAAATCATAATAGCTTTTGGGGGAATGAATGAATGTATCTTCCGTTAGTGTTTACAATGTGTCAGTTGTACATAGTATTTTGCTTTTCAGAATAATTTAACAATGTTTGCATTTCTACTATGTTTGATTATATTCACTGAGTCGTAACTTGGATAGGCTGACATACTGATTGAAATTAAGTTAGAATACAACATTACCCCTAGAGGATGTTAACACATAATAGAACCACTTGAAATTAGTGCAGGTGTTGAACTAAGTGAGCTGAACAATTATTTACCTTTCCCTAATGTTGGAGGAAGTACGTCTGAATAAAATGCAGCTGAAGGCAGAGGCCTTAGGCATATCTTCAGTCCCGCTGAAGTTCTTATTTCAGGAATTTAGTGGTAGTAGGCTTTGTTCTGGTCTCCTGCACATAAGTGTTTCTCAGCACAGTCTAATCTGTTCCCTATGAATTTTATTAATATGTTAACATATAGACCAGTTCCTAGGTCTGCATGGTTTACTTGATTAGGAGACATTCCTCTGGAGTGCAGGCAAGCATTCTCTTCCACCGCAGTCCAGGCTGCAGCTCCAGGTACCCTTCATCTGGTATCCTTCATCTCCTCATGTCTTCTGCATCTGTGAATGCTCCTTAGCCTGTCTCAGTCAAAATGTCGCAGGTTGCTTAGCCAGTTTTGACTGTCTGTGAGATAGTTGTCAACTGAGTAGGTAGGAAAATTGAGCACCAGCACTGATTATCACTGGAGCTGTGATAATCTCATCAACCAGAAAAGCTGCTACTGAAAGAGCCCATTTACCAGCATGGGGGTAAACGCTGTCTCCCCCGGAAAGAGGAAAGCTGGTCAGAGGAAAATGTAGAGGGGTCAGCACTACAGTTTGTATTCATTGAGTCCTACCCAGAGACCTGTCAACTTCATACTCTTTTCTGACAACAAACTGTATCTCAAATTAATAAAATAATCCCAGATCAAGAGACCTATCCTACTATTATAATTCACAAATACTCTTCAGTTTCCTATAAACTCATAATCCTTTTTAAAGAAAAGCTTTAAATGTAAGCACACTTTTGTCTGAAAATGCTTTGTTTCCAGTTGCTATGAGTAACTCCTTATGACGGGTTAGACATTCAAGATTTTGTTTGTCTTCCTATATGACACCACGTAATTTCCTTTGCTAGCTTTTAATTTTTCTGTAAAGTCACAAGAGTTAGCAGAAACTCATGAACAGTCAAATGCCTTCAGTTTCTTCGCCTAATGATTTTTTTACTACTCAAATTCCAGCGTGTTTTCAAGCTGCTAATTAAACAGGTAGTGTCTTTTGGAGAAGATGATGTTCAGCCTCATGACAGAACTGAATTATGAAGTAGCTGGAAATGGATGATGTATAAAACTAATCTTGTGGTAGTTTGTGACCGAACTTGAAAGTAAATATACTTTGGAGAACTTACAGATGCCTTCTGGAATCAGAACAGCTTAAAGAGGCACTTGGCTGCATGCAAAGTTTGTGTTGTCAATTATGAACCTGAAAAGTGACTATATCAACGATTGCTAATGGGTCTTTCCATTTATTTTTAATAGGAAACCGACTCCCTCAACTTTGAAAGCAGGGGATCTGCGCTCAAATGTTAGCCGTTGTCAAGTCTGTATGAGAAAAACATAATGACTTTTGAATTTCAACTAATTTCACACAATATGGTGCTATTCGTTTAACAGCAATGAAGCCTAGACATATATCATATGTACCTCATTGTTGTCCAATATGAAAACAGTAAAGTGCCTTTTAGGAACTTGCATAACTAACACACACTGCTTTACTGGCCCTGTCCTTGCTGAAGAAGAAAAGAGACAACAAAGATAAGCTTCAAATGTTGACATGCCAAATGGCACTTTTGATCAAAATATATGTATTTTTTATATAAATGCAATGCACTGAGAGAATAAAAAGTCAGCATTTATCCAGAAAAAAATGCAAAGGTGCTAGGAGGTATGCAGTTCTGCCTTATACTGTTTGACCCCCCTTTCTCATTCTTGTATTATATATTTAGATTCATTTTTCTTCCCCAGATAAGTTTGTTGTTACCGTTTCTAGGTGTCTCAAAATCCCAGACTCTTGGGTATGTACTTATTGTTCCTGTACAAAGCAATACTAATGTAAAAAAGAGCTTTGGGATTACAGACTGTGGTTAAGCAACATGTAACCATCTTTTCACAACACACAAGTGCCATCCTGCAAACTTTTGCTTCTGTTCGTAGTCATTAGTGCTATTGGTATTAATGGGACTACATCTGGGAGAGATTGACAAATTGCCTTCCCAAATAGGCAAGTAAGAGTTTCTGCTATGTTGGTACTATGCAGCTTCTTTATGCAGTAGAACAAACTTTCCTGTGGAATAAAGAATGATCCAGCAATGGTCAAGAAAAAATATATATATAAATATTTTAGTAATTTATATAGATATCAACCATTAGGCAAATCAAGCTCTGAGTTTATCATTTCAAAAAGAAGCTTACAAAAGTTTTCTTCTTTTCAGTGTCATGAATTAGGTGTTGAATGCCAAAATATGTTGTGAAATGTTCATTTTACATAGGCCATTTCAATGCTGAAGTTGCAGAGACTGAACCCAGGTTAATAGCTATTTCTGTTTATTACAGTAAATCCTGCTTTGATCTTATAGTCTTTATTCTGTATTTAATATTGTTCAGGGTTTTAAACGCTACTCACACACTGAATGACTTGATTTTGAAAAGTATAAGGCCTTAGTTTTGTTAATATTGTGCCAAAAAAATTCTTCCAAGTGGCCTCAGAAATATTTCTAAAGAATTTCTATGCAATGATACCATTATTTGAGCACATCTGTGTCCAAAAGTGTTTTATAGACTTATTACCATGCAAATACCAAAAGATTTTTGCAAATGCCAAGGCCTTTGTATAATTTCTTACATGTGTATTTCTTAAGAATTCAAGTTTGTAATAAAACTATTTCTGTAAAAAAACAGAAGAAAAGAAAAAGTTTTTACTAATTTGTTATTAGCATTCATTTACAGCAATTAATTAATTTTTAATAAGACACCAATAAATGCACAAGCTTGATGCAATCCTAGATTATTTTTGTTTTGCACATCTTTCAGATGTACAAAGCATCTTCAAAAGGGGAAAAGAGGACGCTATTGACACCTCTGTTGTTACCTTGAAAGAACCAGTACTGACAGATGAAGTATGGGTTATGCATCTATTACTGAAATATGTTTGATGTGAACATGTTACAGAAATCTGATAACTTCATTTTAGCTCATGGAAAGCCATCAAGTTATACACGTTTTTCACTCTTCCCTTGGATTTTTCATGCACAAATCAGAACTGAATTATACAGGATAAAAATCAAAATATCTCATGTAATTTTGCTTATAAGTGGGCAATGTGAATCTTGACTCTGGTTGTCTGAAGAGGAAACGGGCTGTGATATCTTTTTCCTTGGCAAAAGCACATAATCTGTTAATATTTCATGAAGTTTTCCCAAATTTGCGAAGAGGCTGCTGCTGCTGCTGTTCTGAACTCACTTTCACTTAAAATCCTTGAGGACACTGGCTGGACGAATGACTGAGGGCCCCTGCATAGAAACTGGCCATTTCCTTTAGTGCTGATTCTTAACTCTCATGGAAATTTTGACAGATGATCGTTTTATTTGTCAATGACCAGTCCTCACAAAAGTCCATTATCAGCCCATAAAATACAAGTCTGGTTATGTCTGATCAGCCTGATGCAGGGTTTTCCAAAGTGGCACTTGTTATTCCGAAGAAGAGGAGAGGACTATAGTAGAGTGATTCCTTGTGGCATCTAGGAAGAATTAAGCAGACATTCAGCCTTCCCTAATACAGAGGATCCAAGCTGCTGCTCAGACATTTTAATTGCACTCTGCAGTTTATCTCCTGATCAGCAGGGGATTGAATTTGCTTGGTTTGAATTGTCTCAGAACTGCCAGACAGTTGAATTTTAAAAGTTCTGCATGCATGATTAAGTCAAATCTGCGTAAGAGAACAACTCCTTTTGCTAGTGAAGGGACCACTCACTGCAGCTGGGTGTGTAGTAACCTGTGTTTTCTCAACTAGGAGCATTTTGGAAACAAGGTCCTTTGAAAATTTTAAAAAACTGAACTATGGTTTGATGTCTTACTTATCTAGTAGCAATTATTTATTCCATAACCTCCAGCTCATAAAATGACTTAGACCATTCTCATGCTAAAGATGCTATTTCTGCTTAAGTCAGTGAGTAAACTTTTCGGTGGTTATTGAATACCAATCAGCTCTGTTGAAAATGATGTGGATGCTAGATTTTGATGTCCTGGGTGAGGAAGAGCCCATGTACTAAAGCAGAACAGAAATGTGAAACTCTTTCTTGCTTTCAAAAATCTGTAAGTATCCCATATTCAGTCATTTCTGGCCAGCGTTGTTGCTACAGTACAGTTCATTGTGTGAACAGGCAACTGAAAACACACCAGTTGTTAAAATTGTCTTGCGTAAGCTTAAATTTCAGGAGAAATCTTTCCTAAAGAAGTACAGCTTGTTTAAATAGGCCTGACTGTTTTTAAATGCAGTACTTGAAGAGTAACTTTCATGACCCAAATAAATACATTTCTAAAACAGCAGGTGGTGCCCTTGCTCTCTTTATGGTAACAATACACTAACAAATGCCTTGTTCTTTAATCCACTAAAATGTAAAGCAGCCTGACAGTTCTCTGTTTTCCCAAGTCTCTGCCTCTATTCTGACATGTTCTAGTCACCAGCAATTTTCCTTCTGAAGTAGGAATGGAACAGTCTTCAGTAAAAGAAAAAAAAATATCTATACATAGACAGAATAAAAATAGAATATAATTAAATAATCCAATATATATTTTTTAACAAATGATCTCTTAGCGTGTGTCTTTTCTGACAGATGTACATTCAGTTTATAATAATATCTTTTATCCTTTTCCTAGTGGTACTTCCTTGATGAAATACACTTTTTTCTATGGAGCAGGACTCCTGAGAACAATACCCCCATACTAGGTTCCCTGAAAAGCAATTGTGTTAAAGACATACCTTTTTATGACTGAAATCATAAAGCTGCATGACTTTCTGAGAATTCCTTTCCTACCTTTCACGCTTTAAAATCTCGAGTAATCTTCACTCACTACAGGAGGCGGAACATAAACGTGTAAAACGCAGGGCTGGGCACGTGGCTCCCAGAGCTCCCAGTAAACAGGAGGCATGGCACCTGGCACAGAGGGGACAGTTTAAAATCAGAAGCGTCTTCGTACCTGCCTGTATCTCCAGGCCTTGCCCTGGTACCGGTGTTTGGCCCGGCCTGCGGCGAGTGCCGCCGCCCTTCCCGAGGCGGCCCTGGAGCTTCCTCTGCCTCTGCTCTTCACGTGGCGGCGGTGATGTGCTGCCCGCTGCATCTCCACCTCGGCACACAGAAACAGTCTTCCTTACCAGCTACACGTTCTGAATTAGATAACACGGGGAGAACGCGAGAGACCAGTATGGATCCTTAAATGCGTACAGCAGGCTCAGGGTAATGCTGAGACCCGTGGTGGTCTGGGATATAATTGATCATTATTAAGGAAAAAAGTATCCGGTAGCCACATGGAAGCATTCAGCCTCTCTGTTTTCAGATGGAGGTAAGAGTGTAGAGAGAAGGAAATCGTCCCACCCATCCTTTAGTTGAAGTGTAGTTTATTTAGTATGAACTTGATACAAATTCTCAGTTTGTACAGCATAAGTAAAAAATAATATTCAAACTTACTTCTAGCACTAGCAGCTGAGCAAGAAGCAGCGCATGTTCTTTGTGAAATATGTACTAACAGAGCAACCTCAAAAAGTAATTTCCTCAAAGTATAATTTTTTTAGCCATTCTCTTCCTTCAGAGTGTCAGAAGAAAGTCCTTCCAAAAAATGCAAGGAGGGAGGTGTGTGGTTTTTGGTTATTTCTCTCTAGCAAACAATATGCTTGTTGTGCTGCTTGAGGTGTTAATACCCGTGGGAGGATAAATCACTACTACTTCTCATGAACTCAGAAATACTTCCTACGGTAAAGATATTTCACCCAGCCAGGCTTGCTGACACCACCTTCTGTCTTCAGCTCCCAATGTAAGAGGATGTTACTCTGAGCTGAATATTTTTACTTATAATTCAGTGTTGATTTCTAAAGAAATATTCCTTTCCAGGTTCTTACTGTCTTCAAACCAAAGAGAACGGAGTGCTGCTTTTATGTAAACAATCACAAGATTTACAAATGTCTGAATCTTTTAGTTTTACATATGTTAGAGAGCTGCCTTCATTTTCCTCTGGCTATATGCAGTCAGCTATATTTATTATAATTGGTGTGCAGAGGACGGAAGACCTGACAGAGTGAAAGTTATAGATGGAACATGATCATTTGATGCTCTGTCAACTTCTGTCTTGCCTAAGAAAACACGTTACATTTCATGCAGAATTGTGGCAGGCTTCATTTGTCATCTCAGCCCCGTGAAGTATGATTTACACTGTAGTAAATAAGCATGTAAAATGACCTGGGCAGGGAGAAAGACCTTGTAAAACAGTTTAAAGAACATTGATCAAACCTTTTCATTATTCCTAGCACACAGCTTTTAGACCCGTGTAACTCACTGTATGCTTTCTCTAGAGCGTACCTCTCAGGCTCGCACTGAAGAGGTTATTTCTCACCATTGGTTCCTGGAAGAGGTTCAAAGTGGAGAGTGCTAGCACATGCCCAGTGCTTGCTTCTGCCAAAGCTTTTATTATCTTTGTGGGCATAGTAGCTGGCAGTGGAAGATGTTCCCCTCTTCCGATTTCCTCTAAATAATTATAGCAGCATTTTTTTCCAGCCTAATTTTGGATATGAACCTGTTTGTCAGATGGGATCAAAGTGGCAACCAAATCAAAGGGACTTGAAATGCAGTCACATGAATCCCATGTCAAGAATTGTTTCTGTCTACTACTTTCAAAAATGTATCTGGGATTCCCCACACTAGCTGTGATGCTCAGATGCTGATTCCTAGGGGAGTCTCAGTTTGCAATGTTTTATGGTTATGTTGAGCTCTACCTCCTGTTACCATAGCATGGAAGATGTGTTGCAGCATCTGTGGGACTAACAGGTAGGAAGGTGAGCACCAGATGGAAGTGAATGAAGACTCTTGGTAGCTCAACAGGTCTACAAACGAAATGACTGTTTGCTCTCATTTCCACATAAACTGACTACAGCTTTTTTTCACAGATTTTTTGACCGCCCTCGATCACCAATTGGGAAATGTCAGCTGTCTCTGTTCAAAGTTAATACCATCCAAGCCTTTTAGCATTGTCTCTGAACTAAGGAAAAGACCTAGTCAAGGGCAGTAAAAGATACACCCTGTCTTATCCTCAGATCTCCCTTTCCCAATAAAAAAAAACAAAAAAGAAATTAAGTGCTGGCGTTCCAATAAAAATACGCTGCAGCTCTGCTCCTTTTCTGTTCAAAGGCAAATCTTACTTCAGGTAAAGATGGTGACTTCTTTAAAATGGGAGGGAAAAAACTGGAAAATTGAGAAAATATTCTCTAGATTATATATTCACATCATAACAACAGTTACTCAGTGTAAGAAAGGCAATATCTGAAATGTTATAATCACCTACAGTTATGATGGAATTTGAGGGATTCGCTATAAAGATGGGGATTCCTTAACAGAAAAGCTACAAAAGTTGTGAAGGCCAAATTGAAAAAAATATAGAAATCACACAGGCTGTGTAGACTCTCCTGAACACAACCTTATATATTTGAAATAAAAATCATACTCAGATTCCAAAGATTACTGTGATTGCTAATGGTGCAAACCAGAAGCACAGCAATTTCTAGAGGAAGGCACTACGACCTGGGGATCACAGGTAGGAATAACTCTGCAGAAAGAATAATTGGGATTATGCTCAAATTAGGGGCTATGGAGCCCCTGAAAGGTTTCACTTACGGCCATTTGCTTTTTCAGAGAACTGAAGTAAAAAATTGAGTTGGTCCTACTAATGAAAGCCTGAGATTGTCTAAGAGGACATTTGTGAAGAGGATCTGGAAGCTATGGCCAAGAGCTTGATTCACCACTATGAAAAATATGAGCTCTTCTGTGTAGCTTTAGTACCAATGCATTTTTTGTGTTTTTTTTCCTGATCTTCTGTAGTCAGAGAAATGTAGCCACCACATGTATATTAATAACTATTAATTAATAACTATTAGAAAGAAGTAGATTTCTTACTAGAAACACCCAGTACAGTGGGAATTTTTAAACTTTTTCTCCTCTTTTTCAGGCAAACTGCAGAGAATCACAGAGAGAGAAATTTTGTAGTTGTTTGTTTGCTCTTGCAAGGCACTGAACATGACCCCTCAGGAATGTGTAGGAGAGGAAATGAAAAGCAGACGTGGGAAGCTGAAAAAGCAGCACTTCTCCTCTATCATTAAGTATATAATAAGGTAGATTACATCAGTTGTTGGCCTAGTCTCCCTGGTGAACAGGTGTCATAGATACAGCACTGTCTAATCAAATATTAACTCATCATGTGGCAGCAAGTACTAGGAGAGGGAACATGTAAGATGATCTACCTCCTTTCACATGCAGCCAACTCTTCCGTGAGGCACTAAGGACATTCTTGTCGTTTTTGTGGAGTGAATCTAATTTTATATAGTTGCGTAGACTTGTGACAAGCAATTTTTTTCTGCTTCCTGACAGAAAGTACTTTGGATACTAATGTATGAACAGCTACAAATTCAGACAAATCGCCATGTTTATGCACATAGGTATAAAGTAAACTCACAGAAGTTTAGTAGTAACTATCTTCAACCATTACTTAGAATAAACTGATACACAAATTTTTTTATTCATATATTTCTACATTGTTTACAATAGCAAATAAATGCCATTGCTCCCATTTTACAAGCAGGGAAATGGAGATGAAATTACATGCAGTTAGTTAGAAAAGAAGTCAGTCCTTTAACTCCTGGACCAGGTCTGTCCCTGATGGATCATGGTCTACCCCAGACTCTTTGGTGCTCCTGGACAGTGGCAAAAAAAAAGAAAGATTTGTTTATTTTTGAATATTCCATTCCATTTTTTGGACTTTTTACTTTATACAACCTTATATAGAATCCAGAGTTGCAGTAGTTTTAAAATGACAGCTGGATCAGCTATGTAGGTATTGCACATAAAATGTCAAATAACGTGAGAGGAGGCATCTGACCAGAGTTGCTTTCTATCTTCTCAGTCACTTTCCTGTAGGAGAAGAAAATCACTTACATATGGTATTCAAAGTAGAGCCTCCAAAACAAACTAAAGATAAATGAAATGAGGCAAGATTTTTTTTTTTCAGGAAAGACAGTATATCACTCTCTTTACTCTGGGCTCCAGGAAGAGACAGTACAGAAGGAGAAGCAATGTCTAGGAGAGGCTTTTCTAGATGACCACCTGTCATATCCTGACATATGGACTCTTACAAGTGTCCTCCTTCATCCATCCTAGCTGTCCTTTTTCTGAGATCAGAAGCCTAAAACTCCTCCACATAGTTTCAAGGAGGGGCTAAAAACTCTTCTTGTTTAATAGAGAAGGGACTTGGCAAATTGGGTATAAATTGACCATAAAATAATTCAG